AACTACCTCAATATATGCCAGACACACGCTCACCTGACGGCACAAGAACAAATGTCTGCCAGCTCTGCCTGCTGTTAACTGCACCCTCTTTCAGACCCTGACTTCTCCTGTGTATTCAGCTGTTACCCTCAGATGACCACAGCACAGCCTTACCTGTCCCACTGTGAGCACTCCAGAAATCAAAATAAGGCTCCAGACAGTTTAGTGCTCAGAGCACTCACAAGCATGACAGGGCTCACCCCAGAGACCCCACTCGACTTGGGTACATCATGCTTCCTCTTGCAAATCCAGGGAGGGACTTGGATCGATGCCTCCTAAGACAGGGGGCCTAACGCATCACATGCACTTCTTTAGGAGGTAGAGGTGTCCCTGCTCAGCCCTGTTACGGTAATGGTGGAGTTTTTCAGACAGCAACCAGGAGCTGTTTGTCCCTCTCTGAGAACCACCTTGTGGAGCTCCAGCAGACAGACACCTTATTCTGTACCACTGACACAAACCTGCTCTCCTGTTTCCGGAATGTGTTCCCCACACTCAGCAAAAGTGAACCGTTCTCTTACTTCCACCTGCAGGAACAAGACATGAGTGGGTTTTGTTGACACCACTCATGACAGGACTTTCTGGAAGGGGCATCTTTATTTGGGAGATCAGGGTCTGTTAAAACTTAGAACAGCTGCTAAGAATGACTCAGATGGGTGCACGGCCTTCCTTAAGCTTTGAGAGTTTTACTGAAAACATGCACTTTTTTAGTAAAAAAGAAGAAGGAAATAAAGTCTACACATACTACACCTAGACTGTAATTTCTTGTCAGATAAATTAGGAAAGGCACTTTCTACTTAGTTACAGAAGAGAAAAAGGCAAATATGTATCAAATATCAATAAACTCATGTTTTCCTTCAGATTTTGTGGAGTCCTGTGCATTTTCCAGAGCTCATCCCTCTATGCCAACCCGCTATTTAAAGGTATTGGAATGTATTATTTCACAAAAAATGAGATTATATCATGCTTACCACAAGGTGTTTGTTGTAGTTAGAGAAAATTAAATAATTTCATCCCCCCAGTACAAATATTCTTTCCTCTTTACGATAATATACTCACTTACTTCAGGAAGATTTTTTTTAGCTTGTCAAGACTCACTTTGATTTTCAAAAACAAGTGCTTCCTTGACTATACATGTTTAGATTCAAAACAAACTCATACTCTCTGAGCACTACCTGCAGCACTGCTCCTACAAGAAATCAGAAAATCCAGTGCATATCTGAGGGAGGATGTCCAGATGTAGAAGGACAGATATCCAACTTCTATTAACTTCCTTTGCCTTCTTCCACAATGCCTCTTCCTCCAGCTACTATATGGTCAGTTTTTGCCTGATGCAAATCAAATACTTTTGACATTTACAATGGGGTCCACTAGAATGATTAATTCCTTTATTTTATGGTTATTCTGCTTTTTTCCTCCAACAAATGTGTGTCAGGGTGCTTAAGCTGAAATAATCTTTCCTGATTTATGTGTATCTTGAGCTGTATCTAGTGTTTGTAGAGGTTTTCCTTTCATTATTTTGCAAAATACTACTTTTCTTTTTCAACCAACTAAAGCTACAATCACAGGGATGGGAAAAAAAAAAGAAATATTGTATCATGGTTGTTGATCTGAAGCCATAAGCTATCAAGCACCCTTAACTTCTAGGACTTGGTCCAAGGGCTGCTGGAATTGGTGCATTTACTGCCATTAAGTTCAATGGGGTTTTGATGAGACTCTTTAGAGATCACTTTATAAATTTTTGAGTTTCTAAAATAACACAATTATGAAATTTTGCCCAAGAGTCTCATCTAGAGAGAGACTCCCACTCTCATCGAAATGAACAGCACAAAGTAAAGTCACTTAGACCAGAGTTCTGCAAATGCCTACATCTGAGCTTCGTTTCACTGGCTGAGTCTGCATAGGAATGCCCAAATAGATAAAGACATGCCCATGAAGTAGCAAAATAGACTGGATCAGGATCACACTTCGAGCACATTTAAAGATCAAAAATACCCAGAACAGAAGCCTCTGCATTTTTGTATGTGATGTAACCTGTGGTCATATTTCATAACAAAGATGTAATTCACACAATCTCGACTGAGTCATAAACTTTGTACTTAAGTGTTTAATTCAATTTAAATGCTTTGAAAAACACTAGAGCTGCTGCTCATGTCCTCAAAGGTTAACGAGTGCAGGTGCTGACAAACAACACTTGACCTTAGAAGGCACACTGCAGTTCTTCAGATAGTTGGTCAGAATGTAAAAGCATTATGATGCTTCCTTATACAAACCAGAACTATCAAGCCAGATAGAATATCCAGTTCAATACTGACAGAATGAACCTGAATGCATAATAAAAAAATTTTAAAAACCAATCTAGTCTGTTTATTTTCATTATTGTTTTTCACAAGCACTTAGTTAAAGCATTATGGAAAATTGCAATACAAGGATCAGACTGCAACAGTGAGGGATTCTGGAGAGACACAAGGGAGAATACATGAGTTAGGAAATCACTGCCATACATTTCCTAAGCATTATAAATACACTGCAATTATTTCTCAAGCTATTAAAAAATCCCATGTGTTCAAGGCTCTACATTCTCTTTTTCACAAGCCAACAATGTCTCAAGCACCACCTGTGAAGCCCTGAGAGGGAGAGCTACTCCCTGGTCTCTGATTATGCAATGATAAGGATCCAGACCCTTCAGGCATATCTATTTATTGGCAGCCTCAGAAAATAGGCTGAGAATCAAGTGGGCATGATGAGCCAGCTACCTTCCTGCTTACTTGTAAGTGCACTGAAGGAAAAAGTAATGTCTGAACCGAGGGAAAAAGTTTATGCTGCCATTAGGTATTTAATGGCTATTCCAGGCATTCGTCCATTCCGTTTGGGTGCAGTCAATCTAGCACTCTTTGTGGGCACAAACTTATTTACTTGTCACTATGAAGCACGCACTAATGACCCAACTGTACTCCAAACATATACCTGACTTAGCATTCCATAACTATGCATCTATTAATTGCTCAAAAGCATTCAAAGCAACACAGCAAGCTGGCAACATGACCCTGATTTCTTATGTCCCTGGAGTACTAAACAGTAAAAACGCAATTTTTAAGAAATTGATATTCATTCCAGGGTAATTTTTTCCTGAATATTTTTATGCTAACTACCTAGATCAGAACTCAAAATCGTCATGAAGAACGACACAATATTTTGACTGCAATAAAGTGCAACACCTTATTGATTAAGATATTACTGTATGAAGAAGGGACATCCTGAAAGATATTCTCTAATTCCTATGCATATTTTGTAATAATTGTATCCAAGGGAAAAACTAATATAGAATAATGTAATGAAAACAGGATTAAGAGACCTGTGATTTTTTCCTGACGTGCATCTCACTTTATGAGACAGGTAATGCCATTCAGAAAATCCCCCATAATTCTTTTCATTACAATTGCAGAATTCCCTGAGATTAATTTTTTTTAAGGAAACAAGCTACTCTAGTTTGATCTTGACTGTATTCCCTGTCAGCATCTAGTCTTGTTCACACAACACAACAGGATGGCAGCCTGCTCCTTCCTAAGTGACATCTTCAGCAGTATTGCCCTCCATGCATTTCTGCTCAGAGATATCTCAAAAAAAAAAAAAAAAAAAAAACACTGAAAAATTTTTGAAATTTATGTCAATAAAAAGCAGCCACCCTGGAAGGAGAGGCCTTTGGTAGTCATTTCAGGGACGGAAACACTGTCACGAAGCAGTACAGCCTGTCGTTGCTGCTCTCAGCTTGTTCCCCCAGGACCCTGAGAACCTGAAGGGAGCAGACAGGGGCTTCCTTAAATTACAGCCGGCAAGATTTTCAGCAGTCACTTGCTTTACCGGGGGTTGTCTTGGAAGCGGACCCCGGCGCCAGCATTACACAAGAAGCGACTGCCATCTTCAGGGGAGCCCCGGTACCGGACCCGCGCGTATCCTCCGCAAACACACAGGTACTGAAGTTGTGACAAAAACCAAAGGCAGCTCTGGGTGGGTGGTAGTGGCAACCAGCTCGACAAAGCCCTCGCCTCGCTCCCTGCCCCGCTCTCCCAGGTAAAGGGAGTGTGTTTCCTCGCTCAGCAGGGCTCCCTGCTCTCCCAGCCCTGAACCGGCCGCTGGCAGCGCTCCGGAACGGGGGCAGGCATCCCGCCGCGCTGGCAGAGCTCCGCGGGGACCGGCACTGCAAATTTAGTTCTTCCCGAGAAGCGAGCGCCTCCGCGCCCCGCCGCCGCCGCCCGCCCGCCACGCACCCCCGGGCGAGCGCTCAGCCGCTCCCGCCGGAGGGCAGGGACGGGGGGAATCTCAGCGAACCCCTGCGAGAGCCTCCCCTCCTCCTCCTCAAGCTACGGCTGCGATCGCTGCCCTTCGCGTCCCGCCGCCGCATGGGATAAGCCGGGCTGGCAGCATGAGCCCGTTGGCGGAGCGGGGGAGCGGAGCGCCCGGTGTGCATCTGTTGCTGAGCGGGTGGCGGCTGGCAGAGGGATGCGGCCGCGGCTTCGCTGGGCGAGGCAGCTTTCCTCCCACCGGTGTACGTGCGTGCCAAGGGCAGCGGATCCCAGCCACCGCCAAGAGAGCCCCCACGGCCCGGGCACCCGTCCGGGCCCACCCCCGCGCTGCAGGCGACTCCCGGACAGGGGCGCTCCTGGGGCGGCGCGGCTAGCCCCAGCTGCCGGGGCAGCCGCTCCTGATAATACCGGGCGGGCGGGATACGGCCCGCCAGCCCCACGTCCTCCCCCTCCGCCGCCGGTCCCCGCGCATCTGCCGGCAGCCTGCGGGGCCGGGCGGGCAAGGCGGCTCGGAGGCGGCGCGCACGGCCCCCGCCGGCAGCCGCAGCCCCGGCCCGGGCGTCCGCGCTGCCCTTGCGCCCCTGCACCCGCAGCGCCCCGGGACTGGGCGGCGGCGCCTCCCCCTGCGCCCGGCGGCGCGGGGCCCGCGGCGGTCCCTACCTCCGTGTCGTAGACCCGCAGGTCCAGGAAATAGGGGTTGAGCAGGGACTCGTTGCGGATCTGATCCATGGCCAGATACACGGCGGGTAGCACTCCCTGGGTGATCCTGCTCTCCTCCTCGGACTGGTTGACCGGCATCAAGCCCATGATGGAGATCGGCGTGGTGGCGTTGGGGGGCAGCCCGGCCGCCCCCCGGGAGCTGCCCCGCGACCAGCCCCAGCCCGGCGGCGCCCAGCCCAGGCACAGGAGCAGCAGTAGCATGGCAGGGTTGGAGGTGGCAGCGGCCGGTCTCCGCGAAGAGGGATGCATGCTGCTGGATGGGGAGGAGGAGGAGGAGGAGGAGGAGGAGGACTGAGGGTGGGGGAACGGGCTGAGCGGCGGAAGAGAGCCGAGCCCCTCTCAGTCTGGGTGCATCCCCCGGCGGCAGAAGCCAAGGCGGGAGGAAAAGATCTGCCTCTCTCCGCTTCCTCGGGAGCCTCGGGGTCTCCTCTCTCTTCCCCCCCTCCCGTCCCCTGGCAATAATCCTTCTGGCAATGGCGCCTACTCCTTCCCAGGTCTGCCAGCTGCAACCACCAGGAGCAATAAATAAATAAATAACCACCACCACCACGCACACACAGACACGCTCCCCACCACCCTCCTCCGCTCTCCCCGGCGGCACAGCAAGGGAGCGGGACCTGCCTCTGCCTCCCCGGTAGCTCTCCCCCCTCTCCGCTCAGGGAGGGACAGCACCTCTCAGGCGCGGGGGGGGGAGCCGAGCAGCCCTCATTGAACACTTCCTTCCTTCCCCCTCCTCCTCCTCCTCCAAAAGGGTGAAAAGGGAAAAAAGGGATGCTCCGGCAGAAAACGCCGAAGAGGAAAAAGCCCCCCCCCCAGAGCCGGGGAGGCGGAGGAGGGGAGCGGAGCCGAGCCGGGGCGGGGGTGCTAGTGCCGCATTCCGCGGGAGCCGGGGCAGCCCCCGCCGCGGGCGCGAGGTGCCGCCTGCGCCCTTCCTCCGGCTCGGGCAAAGCCGCCGGGCAGGATGCGCGGCCGGGGGCAGAGCAAAGTGTGCGGCGGCGGCGGCGGGGGCCGGACCGAGCTCCCTCTTCACGGCATCGGCGTTCGCCGCCTGTGGGTCGTGCACCTTCTCCAGGTGGAGCTGCCAAGGCGGGCGCGGGTGGGCGCGGGGAGGTGCGAGCCGCGGCCGCTGCCCATCGGCGGGCAGGGCAGGGCAGGGCAGGGCAGGCCGGCGGAGCCGCGGCCCGAGCGCTGTCCCCACGCGCGACCCGCCCGGCACCCGCGCGGAGCCGCTGGCAGCGCTGCCCGGCGCGGGCGGGAGCCGCGCACTCTCCCCGCCCTCCCCCGCGCACACGCGGCACGCAAACACGCTCCCACTCGGGCTCGGCACCCCGCACACGCACACGCGCAGCCTGCCCGGGCCACGGCAGCTCTGCGGCACGCAGGAGCGGCGCCTTTCGCTACAGCAGAAGTCGTGGGGTTTGGGGTTTTTTTTGTTTTGTTTTTTGGGGATTTTTTTTCTGGGTTTTGGTTTTTTGTTTTTTGTTTTTGTGGTTTTTTTTTTTTTTTTTTTTGGTTGGTTGGTTTTTTGTTTGGTTAGGGGTTTTTGGGTTTTTTTTAACCGGTTTCTTTTCCCGCAGAATTGGCGGTTTTCTGGGGAGCCTGACACAGCTCGGATTACCAAAAAAAAAAAAAAAAAAATAGGAAAAAGAAAAAAAAAATAAGGCTGCGGCAGGACTCTGAGCTTCCCTGAGGGCTGTCGCAACCTTGTGAACAGCCTGTGAGAAGCGAGCCCTTTCCACGCCTGTTCTCCCAAGTAATTGCCTCCACATCTCAGTGGCTGTGGGGCATATCCCATAGGCAGCCACGGCTTTTTGCGTTGCTCCCAGGCTATTCCCCCACCCCAGGGAACATATTCACGCTGCCCACCCACATCGGTGGTCTGCAGAGTCCCAGAGCAGCAGGTCACTGATCTGTTTCATCTCAGGTGGATCCCATACAGTAGGTGATACAGGCAAAATGCAAAACTTTTCTTAACCCTGCCTTAGGCACCCCACTTTTTATACATATTCATAAATTTCCTGAGGTCACTCTGAGCAAACCTTTGAAGATCAACCTAATACATCTAATTTATATTACACAGCAATGGCAGCATGTCTGCAATAAATTGGAAAGAATTTTCATGGATTAATACATTCTAAGATTGTAAGATCTGACCTTGGGCTAAAAGCCCTCAACCAGTAATTTCATAACATTTGTTGTGTTACAGCCTTTCACTCAGAATGACGTCCAGCAGTGTTGACTTTAAGGCATCAGTAATGAAGAGTCCATCACTTCTCTTGATAAATCATTTCAATCATTAATTAGTTTGCTAAAAGGTGCATTTCATATTCCGTATCAATTTGTCTTATTCCAGCTTCCAACCACCAGTTTTCATCATACCTTTATTAGCTTAAGGGAATGTAGTATCAGTGATCTTCTCCCACACACAGGGGCTAAGATTAATCACATTTTGCTTTTGTAAAATAATAAGGCCAACTTTCCCTCACCTCAAGAATCATTCCTGGAGGCACTTCCAATGCACCTCTCCTTTTTCCACACGATGTTGAACTGGCCATTCTCATCCTGCGACCTGCCTGCACTGGGCCATAAGCTGCAACCTCAGCATCTCCCTCAGTACCAGCCAGTTCCATAGGCTGGGCAGGTTGGCAGGTTGAGAAACCTAATCCCTACAGGCAGACCAGACAGTGTGTTGTCCTTGTGGGGATGTCTATTTATGAAATCATCTACATCATGGCTTTGATGCCTCAGGTTTTAGCTTTCATATTTTCCTGATTCTGTACTGCTTTAGTGTGTAGTTCTGAACTTCATTTTAGGGGATAGTAAGTTCTTTTCACCCAGTAGGTAGACAAAATAATTCCTTCTCTAGCTGGGAACCAAGGACAAATAATCCAAATCTCAGGCCCAAGACCTTAAGCAATGATGGACTGAAGAGAGAAAAACAAGAAGGATGGGACTTCATAACCTAAAGCTATAACTGGACAATTAACTCCAATAAGATAATGGACCAGAACTTAAAAAAGTGAGAGACCTTGTGACCCATCCTTCATTTTGTGGCCATTTTGGGTTCATCTTGGGTGTAGCCCTGGCTGGGCTCTTGTACTGCCCAAGGTGTATCCACTGAGACTTTTAATAAATACCTACTTTATTCTTTAACTCTGTCTAGCCTCTGTTCTAGGTCAGCCTTCACAAGGCATCAGTTTCTGGTGACCCAGGTGGGGCAGAAGGCATCTGGAAAACCCCCTGGACTGCCGGCACCTCCTTACTCCTGTGCACTTGGTCTTGCACTAGAATAAATCAAAACACGACTTTTATTTGTACAAGTGACTTGTCCAGCAGTTTGTCACCTGCAAACTTTCCAGCAACTCATTTTCTTCCAGAAAATTGATTATCATAACACCAAGAACATTCCTAGGATGCCAACAGCAATAGGTGCCATATTGATTTTGTGTAATTCTATTTTTAACCAGAATATCATATGCTAAATGACGTTTTGCCATTCTCAACTTGCTATGCAAGTTCGTCTGTCAAAATTAGTTCCACAGAAAATCTTTCTTCACGACTTGTATACTGTATCATTCTGTGATTTTCACCAGTACTTGGCTACCAGAACTACAGCTACTTGGATCAGTTTGGTGATCCTTTTACAACATTGGCAGTTTATTAGCACACACACTCACATTGTCTCTGGACTGTTATCATCTTTCCAAGATCTGGGGTTTTTTTGGAAGCAATTACTATGGTTTTGAGAACTCAGTCTTTCTGAAAGAAAGCTTGAGGCCAGGTTGTGTGTTGCTACAGAATTAGTTTCTTGGACATTATTAGCAACTACCTGACATCCTTCTTTGCTATTGCTGCTGCAGCAAATGTCCCTTTGTTAGCTGAAGATTGAAATGCATCTCCTTGCTTTTCCCAGCACAGGTCAGAAAGAGTTACTGGACAGTTCCACTCAGTGTGAAGTTCAAGGCTTGCCCTCATGTGGGAGGCAGAGACCAGCTGACACTGGTGTCCGTGCAGTGCACAGGGAAGGCCAGTGCTGGAGAGGTAGGGCAAAGAAATGCATCTAGGAGAGGTCTGCAGAGGTCTGCAGTATGGCTGGATATCATTTAATCCAAGCATAGCTGCACTTCAAATTACAGTGTTTAAGAATGTGATACTTCTGACCTTAATCTGTTTGTTGCTGCACTCTCTGTCAGTAAAGCAGGGTGCTCTTCCTTCATGGTAGTACTGTAGTACTGTGAAGACAGATAGTAAGTATGTGGGAAACACTAAGAAACTGTAACATTCAAGTTCTATAAAAACAACCAACAAACAAAAAACAACAACAACAACAACAAAAAACCAAACAAACAAAAAAAAAAAGGAAACAACTCACACTAAGAAAATTAACTTTTATTTTTCAGTCTAGGGATTTGTTATGGGGATGCAAATAAGGCCATATATTGAACAATGAGGATTAAAGTAAGCCTCTCAAAATTCTTCCCGTGTGTGAGGCATGAAAATGACATTTCTCCACCTTTTGTAAAAAACAACAAAAAAAAAACCCCAACAAAAACAAACAAAAAACCCCAAGCACCCCTCATTCTCCCCACAAAAACAGGGGATGTATTGCAAGAAAATCATGTAATTAAAAATCGTAGTGTAATAGACACACTGAGGCATACTCAAAAACATGAGTATGATTTCCCAAAACCCTTTATTTCTGGCATCTAAGTATTTAATTTGCAATGTGATAGAAAGTTGCATGTTTTCCACATATGTTTTCAACGTGTTTCTCTGCTAGCTGTTGTAAAGCCTGCTTCTTTCCAATTCTCAGCACTGAGAAATTTCTTCTTTCTTAGGTTCTGTGCTATGTTTATGCATAACAGATGCCCAGGTAACAGCTCATTTTAAATAAAAGGAGGCCTAAAGGAGAATTGCACCAAACTGCTTATTAAATATTGTGTCAGACACAGCCACTGGCCCAGCTGCCTTTTTTTCTCCCTCAGAAATCCCCAGAAGGTTTTGCTACCGTCAAATTGGTAAAGTGCATTCCCTAGGATGAAATCCTCTGAAGCAGCACACATCCTTTATCTGTTAGGAAAAAAGGCATTATATTCTCATTTAGTGGTCCACATCAGACACCCTCTATTTATTCCTTGTTGGCTAAAATACCAGTTCACAAGAACCGTAAAACCTGTTCTCTTAACTCGAAAATCAAATGTCACTTTCTTCCTGGCATGTTACCCAGTCATTTCAGTGCTTCAGTCATGTGAATCCTTCAACCATATTTCTGTAAGAACACTGTCAAGTATCTTCCTGCTAATGATCGCTTCCAATTTCTCAGTTATTACTAAGTCTTCTCACAGCGTATGCACAATTAACAATTTTTTTCTTTATATATTTATATTTGCTCATCACAGAGTACCTAATTAATTAATTTCACATTTAAGCATCTGTGCTAGTATGACCTCCTTGACCATTTTTTCTTGAGTTCCAAGTTAAGTATCTTCAGACCATGGATAAAGTCAAAAAACCCAGAAAACTGATTTTCTATTAGCACCAACAAATAAATTGCATCTGCTGCAAGTCCTCTCCTACTCTGGGAGATGGTTTCATGCTACACAAAATATATCATGCAGCCCCTTAAGCCAGCAACTCACTTCCTGTATGTATTGTCCTGCATATTCATCTTCTTAATACTTTTTGAGAGATCACTGAGAAGGTCCTGCCCTGTGTTTTGTCTCAGCCACCTTTGCAAATCCTGGAGCCATGAAATTCCTTGCAGTGCTGACTGGGACTGGTCTAATCAGGCTTTGTCTATTCATAAAAATATCAGTGAATAGTGGATTAAAAAAAAAAAAAAAAAAGAAAAGAAAACTGGTTATCTAGGCGTAGTAATTTTAGTACCGCATGTACATGCATAATGTTTTTCCTCTGTAAATGAGAAATGCAGGAATACTGCAGTGCTGTAATTTGAACTCAGCTACTGCTGTTGCACCTCAACAGAAAGGGGAAGCTCTCCTATTAATCTTTTCCCTCCCTCCCAAGGGCTTTCCCACCTACCTCAGCTAACTTCCTAGACCAAAGTTCATATTTGTTACAAGAGCATACGGCATTCTCAAACACCGCCAGAAAAACCCGGCACAGTTGCAAGAATATACACACAACTGCATGATCCTAACCATACAGTCTCTACAGACACCTTGACTACTATGTCTTTATATCAGGGTATCAGGATAAAGCTCAACTAACTTCAAGTTAATCTCCAAATCTAAAGGCCTTAAGAGAGGCAAATGAAGTTAGAAGAGCATCAGATTTTAAATTATCAACCAAGCACTGTCACTGTGTAAGTGCCCATGTTTTCATAAACAGGAAATTGGAGCACAATCTCATCAGTCCTGGTGTTATCAACCAACATGAATTTCCCCTTGCAGTGCATCTTACCACTTCCTATAAACATAACAAAAATGGAACACACTTTTGAGTCTCTGTTTTCAGCAGAGCCAGCAAGAAATACTTTTTCCAATTCATGTTGACTGATGCATGTACAATGATGATTGTTGTTCCAAGGTGTTTGTGCCAGCTCTAGCAATCCCCCAACATAATGGTTCAGACAAGGCTGCATATACAGAGGTTTCAGTGGTTTATTTCTTAGAATAAACTGTACTGTCTTCTGTTGAAGTGAAAAAAATCCACTGTTTCCAAATCACTGTTGAAGTGAAAATCCAGTAAGTTTTAGCCCATGTTGAAGACCCACAATTTTTAAATGAAATTGGTGAGTGAATAAAGGAAAAAAAGTCAAAATCTCTGCCTGATAATTTCAAATAAATATGATAATTAGGTACCTGACTGTAGTCTGGATGGCTTTCTAAAAAAAAAAAAAAAATACATAAATACAGGAATAGAAAGACTAAGAAATAAGCATTAATTTGTGACTGAAATCCTCCAATTTTTTCCATTTCTATGAGATATCCAGCCCCATCTCTTCTCAGAAGTCCAAAGGCCACAGTCCATTCCTCAGCAGGTAGCCCTGACCTTCTGCAAAAGGAAGTCTGGAGATGTTAAAGGAAGTCTGAAGATGTGCTTCATGACTCAGATGCTTGATGGAGTCCTTCACCCTCCAAACCTGAAGCTAGGCATTAATACAACTCCAGTGAGTTGAGAAGAAGAAAAGCTGTCAAGGAATAAAAAATGGTAAGTGGAGGGACTATAAGGCCAACACAGAGGGAGCAAGCTGGTGGCATTGCTAATGTTCAGTGTTTGCTTTTGAACTCGAATGTGTTTGTCTAGCAAATATGCAAGCCAGGCTGGCAGGTTTGCTGGCATATGTGAAAACATCTTAGCTGCAGAAAGCCAAAAACATCAATACTTCTCTCTAAACAAGGGCAAAGTGAAAAGATGTATAGGAAATAATTTCCACTTACTAAGTTTCACTTGCATTCCACCATCTGATGATGAAATCTTGAAATCCCAAGACTCAGAAAACCTCACTGAGAATGGAGGTCAGTGAGAGCTTTGGCTGTGATTCTAGTAGCTGGGCTTTTATCTGCTACTAACATTGTTCAATCAGCATTCAAGAAGGCAAAGCAGAAATTAATAGAAAATCCTTGCTGTTCTCTCAGGCAGCCACTCACTTTTGATTTGTGGCTCCACAAAGTATAAACCTCTGCTGCTACCAGGTGAACAGAAGCATTACTGAGTTCAGGAAACAGAACTTGAGGTACCATAAAATGAAGCTGTCTTCTCCCAAGTGCTGCAGGGATCTGGGCCTAAGAGATCAGCAAAATGATTAAATGAAAACCACTGACCACAAGAAAAAAATAGTGGATAAGACATTTCCCACTCCCACTACTGAATCACAAAGTATTTTATTAATTCTAACATCAGTTTCATCAGTCTAGCCCACAGAGACAAAATTTCAAAGGTGCTCACAGAAACCTTCTATCTACATGGGTAAGAAAGACCTTGAAAGAACATGTAAACATGTATCTCCTACCCTCTCCCCACATCCCAATCATATAAATAGGTATGCCAAAATGGCATGAGCTTGTGGGGATTCAAAGGAAAAGCTGTACATTTTTTTTATAGAAAACATGAACAAAAGCAAATACCAAAACACATACCAAACTAATCAAAACAGATGCCCAGAGTTCTGGGGGGAAAAAGGTTGACATTTTCATCCTTCTACACATAAGCATTCCTTCATCTGACAGGGAAAGAAACTCTTCTTATGAGCTGAAACCCTTCTAATCAACATGGTAATGCTGATGGTTGATGGCCAGACACATTGCTATACACACACTCCTTGTCTGATTGGGCAAGGCAGATCCCACACACCAGGGCACAAGCCATCCTGTACTGCTGCAGATTACACTCTCCGTTTTCAACAGGACCACATGAAAGGTCAACTCATCTAAAAGGACCTCCTGGACAAAATGCAAGTTATACCTCAAAGACAATAATTTTTGTATTAATATTAGCTGAATTTCACAGAAATCAGTTGCAAAACCATTTTAAAAATACAATCGTTTTTACATTAATCATTTAAAACTTAAATGTTATGATTCATTTTCTCTAACTGTATGTTGAAATTTTTACGAAAGAATTATTGATAGGTCTTATTTTGAAAGTTTTATGCACACTGAAAATCCACATAACATTAAAGCTGGTTGTGGATTCTAGGACACAGCCACATAGCTGGGCCCATATGAATCTAAATAGCTTTTCCCAAAGCATCACCTTTAAATATTGTTGCCTTCTGCCTTTAAGAAAGATGAGAAAATCCCCATTTTACTTCCAAACCAATCTTAAGCATGATTAGAAATTTGTCAAGTGCCATGAACATCTAAAATTGCCAGACTATTTAAGGTATAGTATTGTCAAGCATGTGCAATTTGTATGCAACTAGATTGTGCAAAAACATGCAGACATACTCTGCCTTTACATGTAAATCCACACTGTCTTCAGTGAGGGCTTTGTGGTTGTCACTTAGGGCAGAATATGGCCTACATTTACTTTCTTGGTATTTAAAAGACAAGAATAATTATTAACTACTATCTGTTAAAAGACCCAACTGCAGAATGTTTTAGTAGAAAAATAAACATTTTAAGTTATTGGCAGATTAACATTAGTGCAATTTTTTTTGACTGCCTTGCTTCCACACAGTAGATTAAAAAAATGTCACTTGTGAAAAGAACCAAAGACACTTCAGAAGCAGTTATGTAGCTGCCAAATAAAAAGGAGCAGATTCTGTGGCACTTTATGAAGCTCTCAATACTTAGTGCCTTCTAAAGCTCCAGGAAACAAGATCCAAGGCTTGTCAACTAATTACAGTCCTTTCCATACAAAAATATATCACTTATGAGCTTTTCAAAAGGCTGACTAACTGCTGACTAGAAAGAGCAGATTCTTTTTGTATTCAGCTATATCCTAGACAACATCTGGATCAACTTCTTTCTTTGAAGAACCATTTTTGGTAGTCCGAGTTGGTACAAGGTCGTAACAATGGTGCTGGGTTCCCATTGTAAGCGTTTGCCTCGGCTTGTACGCACTTCTGGGTTTGGGGGTGAAACAAAGTACCGTCCTACAAAAGACAAATAAAGTTAGCTTTTCAGGTCTCAAAAATTGCAGACATATCACTGTGGTTTAAAGTAACAGAAAACATTTGCAACAAATAAATATCCCACATATCCTTCCAATGGGGTTGTGCAGTAAAGCCTAACTTGAGGATGTCTGAAACTTCATCAAAAGATCCTGCTTTTAAACTTACGTAAACTGACATCAGTATTGCTTTAGAGTGACTCAAGAAGTGGCATCTCAGCCTGTAAAGGATGGGCTAACATTTGCTTTCATTGTCTTTTGTTACTGGACCAGAATATGGCAGAAAAGAACTAAGCCAAGCACAAGCATTAGCCAAATGTATAAATTCATTGCACGTCTTGTAAATAAAAGGCAAATACTGTTCATTAAGCATAAATGTTGGAAATATTTTAGCAAGAAATTTTCCTGTCTCTTTGTAGGATATATTTTTGGTGGAAAAGTAAAAATATCTAAGTGTGCCCCTTGCCTGCAGATGTGTGTGGAGTTGACTTGCTTTGCTGAAAGGCAGTACAGCTGCCTCAGAGGTGTAAGGTCTGACAGGCCTTCACAGTCAAATTCCCTAAAGGACACATTTTGAGACCTCAGGCCATTTTTTCTTGTTTATCTCCAGTTCAAGTCTCTCATTCCAATCCAGGAGCACTGTCAGCTAGGATAGTGAGCTGCAAAAGGGCAGCATAGCCAGCTGTGAAGGACTGCCCTGCTCTGAGGCCATCCCCTTGGCCTGGGTGCCACTCCTACATGCAAGCATTCCCAAGGCCCTTGGCAGCTTTGAAAGAAAAATGCCAAGACCTTGTTTCTGTCCATAGCCCTGACTCCTATGGAAGTCTGCTCCTTCCCTCATCAGGAATGTTGCACTTAACTGCATCCTGAGCCACAGCTCCTGATGCCCAGCAGCTTGTGCTTGCTCACAGACTTGCTGACAGATTCAGCTGCAGAATTACTTTCTTGCTTCCGTCACGATAATTCAAATTTTAGAGCGGATTAATCAGTATCCATCTCACTCATTTTTGACTCAGTGTCCACAAGAACTCGATTCTTGCCAAGCTGCTGGGAAGGCTGTTCAAATCTTTGATTATGCTCCATCCATAAGGACAGCTGTCTGACACTACCATGCACAAAGCAAAAGAAATGTGGTGCTGACACCTCACCCATCACTCCCCTTGAAAGGTGGAGACCGGTGGTTTTGATTTAGTGCAGCAGCAGAAAAGGAATTGGAGCAGAGCAGAACACTCAAATCACACACAGGCACAGGGTGATCATGAAAAAGAAAATTTAAAGTAATTCCTGAAGTCTCAGATGATAAAATTAATGGTTAGGAATACAGTGGAAACAGATGCATTCCATAACTTTTTTCAATTTTTCCATTTTCTCAATTTGAAAATTTCAGTTCTCTTGATTACTTCTGGAAGTGACTGAAGATCCTTCAATATGTGTCATCTTAGGGATTTACGTCTATGACTGAGCAATTTTGTTAAAAGATGACATTAAAAATGAAACACCATTTATAAAGTCAACCTTTTAAACATTTTTATTTAGTAAAATCACTATGAGCTTCAGTGTGGACTAGATTTAGGGAACGGACAGTAGCTTCCATCTTATTTTTTTAGAGTTTACCCTGCTACCTATCACTGCTGGTAGTATCGAAGTGTGACATTTGTCAGCCATGGAGCCCGTAGGGATTAGATGCATTATGCAGACACATTATGTAAATATACCATTTTGATATATTATGTGACCTTTTCCATTAGCCAAATAACAACACTCCAGAACCTGACCAAGGCCATCATTTTTCATCCAGCTTTTTTTCTCTCAGGCATCCAGGAGCTTCTTTACGGATTCAAAAATACTAAACACAAGCTTTTCTAATATTACGTAGAGGCAGCTGCTTAAAAGCAGGAAAGAGCACAAAGTAATGGTGATGAGTGAAGAATTGGGGATATATAGTAATATAAATATTGGGCAATATGTCAATGAAAAGAGAGCAGACGTAGGTCAGCCATATGACTGACTGGGGAAGGGTTATATTGAAGCACCTCAATCTCAGGAGAAGACAGTAGGGGCGACGTGCAAGAGAGAACGTTCCTAACCTCCTTGATGTTAACAAGGGTGCTTTCCTTCCTCTAATCTCCCTGTTCTTTATGACTGGAATACTCTTTGCCTGCTACCCTGTTTCTGTGTTCAGATGTTAGAAGCCAAGATAGCCTATTTCTCCCAGAGACCTGTTGTGGCCTGCACAATATGTATGCAGTAAGATATAAATTTTAAAAATTCAACAAATCTCCTTCCACCCACTCCCCCCAAAAAAACCAAACCCACATGCAAGCAGGCACACTTACCTCTCTGAAAATAAACTTCTGGTTTTCAGGAACACTGTGGGCATTTTCTTGACACAAGTACATTGTCAAGTAGTCAGTCCCTGAATCGACTGCTGCGCAGACTTCCGGTTGCCGCGTGTTGTAACGTATTTCATTATGGGATGTGTACTCAAAAAACTACAAACCCAAGAGAAGAAACAAAGGACAGCAGTCATTTCATATGTACACAGAGAGTGTTTATAAAGAAGCGTATACTAAGAGACTATAATTAGGTTCACAAATAAAAGTTGCTGCTGTGAAGAGAAATTCTGCCAGAAATATTCAAGTGTCCTTAACTTCTACTGCTTACTATTTTACAGAAAATCAATCTCATCACAGCACTGCTTTACTCTTGTAGCACTCAAATGTCCTGGAAAACAGGCATTCCAGCATTAAAGAATTTCCAAAATTCAACTGCAATATTTAACTTTCACATTCTAGGCCCCCCTTAAAAATAGGATGGAAAACAGTTTCTGGCCTGACATTATGCCTTCTTAATTCAGTCATCACAAAGTAATATTACTTTTAACTAAGGAGCTGCTCACTGCATAGTTCAAATGCAGTTTTGTCCAGGTTAATTTCCAGTTATAATGGTCATTTCCAGTACTAAGGATGCATGGTGATAAGCATTTTGTTCTATAAAGTTGTAAGGTATTATTTGAAGCAAAACAGGTACAGCTGCTTTTAAATATGAAAAAAACTTCCTTAAAGACAATTTACTATCTTTGCTTGTTGCATGATATTCTGCAGAAATGTTATAAACATGCTCTGAAACTCCTGGCTTCTGTAGCAGCTATGGTTGAAGACTTCCTTAAAATTTTATTCTTATCATGGACACTTGCCAACTTTTGGACTTCATTAAAGAGTGGCAGAGTTGGAGAGTTGTTTGTATTTAGCAAGCTCATAAATAATTTAGATGACTATAGTGCACGGATGTGTGTTTAGATCTGATTTAGATTATACTCAATAAAGTAGAGGATAGTTTTATAAACATCAGAAAATTGCTTATTACCCATAGTACAGCTGCATTAGCAGAGACCAATAAAAGGATGAAGGAGAGAAGGAATTCTCTTTTGTTTTGTTTCCCCCCCTGGAGACTGTAAGGCTTTGTGAAGGGGGCTGTACCAATTCAGAAATGTACACACTTGAACTTACCACAAAAACATCCTTAACAACCGCCAGGGCTAATAACCTTGATGAGGAGTTGGAAATGGAGTTTCAGTATAAACAGGACTCTGCTATTACAAAATCTTCAGCCATCCATTTCCAAGTGTAAGAGCTCTGATCTGGACTACACTGATAATACTTGTTTCATGAAATCTGCCCCTCCTATTATCACAATCAGGAATTTCTCTGTCAAGGTGGCTGTCACAGCCATGCACCAACCAGTGCTGCCCACTGCATCACCCTGGGGAGCCTCATGGCTTTTTTTTTCCAGTAATGATGCAAGTGACTGACCCCTGCCCCCTCACCCCAGAATTCACCTGTTTGCCACCATTCATTTGTGGTAAGCCACAAAGGGAAATGAGTGTTTTGTGAAAGCAACATCAAGTTTGAAGTCTCCCTGCTGACATAAGACCCCAGAGACCATGATTTTCCCTTGAAACCTATTGCTAAGATCTGTTCCTACAGTGTAGGTTGCACTACTTTTACATTTGCCTTACGCAAAAAAAATCTCAACAACAAAAGTAAATTGCGTGAATATATGGTCCTATTATTATTATTTACCCTAACAAGCAGCAGCTACTCCCTGGCCTTTTGGCTTTATTCCCAGGTTCAGTATCTGATTGACAGATGGAAAACCCACTACTTTGGGCACCACAGTGAGCTACAGGGACATGCATTTTAATCCTATGGCTTGTGAATAAAGAAAAAGCCTCAGTTCTGCTCAGCTGTGTGTGGATGGACACTTTTTACAGCTGCCACTTTCACAAAGCCATATTTAGAGCCTTGCTCGTTAGGGGATTTATTAGATATAATAACTCTTTAGCAATTTGTATTGTAAGTGAAAGCCTGCAAGCTGCTGACTGTACCAGATGCATCAAGAATAAATGGAGCAGCTACTAGATCAGAGCACTTCTTACTACTGATATCTTTCCTGAATGATCTCTCAAGGACTTGCACCAGATTCCAAAGAAGAGCAAGTAAAATGATTAATTTCTGGATAGCTTTAAGGAATGGGGTTATAATACTAACAACCAAGCACTCCTGCCTTGTTGCCCAATGAACATAACCAGTGCATTACCCTACACTACTTCAAACTGAATAAATACTTCAGGCTTTGGGCTTTTCCAAGCTCTAGTAATGAAATAAAAATCTTCATCCTCAAGAGATAAAGTGTTTTTTTGTTCTCTCTTCTTGCATTCTGTCAGCAGAAAGGAAGCGCTTTCAAACTAATCCATGGCCCAATAACTAGTAGCCTTACTGCATTTCTTTCCTTCTGAGAATCAGTAGATTCCCTTAAGTGCTATTGGCAAACTTGATGAGGCCTTTCTCCCAGTGTCTCTGGCTTCTGGACAATCTACAGGATATGCCTCAGCTGCATCAGCGTGTCTCTGGTACTGGGGCCAGCAGGAGATTTCGGCTACCTCACTGCACCCTGAAACACACTGTCATCCTTCTCTGTGCCTGGCTACTGCTGTTTTGCATGCAGGAAAAAGTTTTCACTTGATGGGTAGAACCAGCAGATAGGTTAACAGGTCTGATACTCTTTTCTGCTGAAAACCCAATGGATTTGCTAACTTCTTTGTTTCCCTCTCGCTATTTACGTCAAATGTATCAGCTCCAAATGGGAATTCTGGGAAAAACACTGTCAGTCAGTGTGTTCCCATCCTCTTATCACATCAGGTTGATTTCTTGCCATCACATATTGGTGCCTTCTGTACTGCTTCCCAGCCATACCCAGAAGACAAAGGGCTTCATTGGTGCACAATTTCAAAGCCTTTAATTCTCCTCTGTGGGGCAGATACTCCCACAAAACATAAGCAGCCTGAGGTACAATCAGTAGCCAGTGACTTACACTCTCACAAAAGGAGTAAAGGAAACCCTCTCAATTAGACCATGGATTCAAGAAAGAACAGCAACAAACTACCAGTTTTCTGAGAGTGGTTTTATTCACTGAGATGTAAAAGAGGAGCAGCTGCTGGACCATATAAATAACCAAGAGCACAATGCTCTCTCCTTTCAGCACAAGTGCACACAGATATTCAGAGGTCACCAAGTGGAGACTTGTTGCCAGTGAAAAGTTTTGAAGTTGTCCCCTACACAAACAGCCACCTGCCTGTGGTGTGAGACAGGCCGAGAACGGGAGCAAAGCTTGCTAAGGGCTTGCTGGCAAAACTCTATATAGGTAATAAGTGGAGTGACAAGAACAAAGAAAAAAGGCAGGAGTAGTTTGGGATTAGGATGGTAGATTCCCTTCCAAGGGGCCAAAGAGAAGTTAAGGGCTGCCTGCTGTCAATAAACATCTCTGAGACTCTGGTTGTTGATACTAGAGGATGACCAAACCTTGCCACGATCATTTCATCAGCAGATAGCGATGGACATAAATGTGGAAGACTTGACTGTTTTGATCCTGACATTGTCACCTGCCAAAGGATTCACAGCACAAGGAACAGCCCGCTACCTTTTCAGACTGACTGTCAAGAATGCGGTAGGATGGGAAAGAAATGGAGAGAAATGTCCTGCTGGTAGGTTTCACAGCTATTTGTGAGCCAGAAAAGGGAGCTGCAAGTCCAGTAACCCTAACTTCATTTCCCACCTCACTTGTGTTCCTCCATATTGTCTTATTTTAGTCTTCCTCTGTTCCTCCACCCACAACTCTTCCTGCTGTCCACTTGTTCTCTTGCAACTACCTATCACCCCTACTACCTATGCCCCCCTTTGCCAGCTGGTATCTCAGCTCCCACATTCAGTAACCCTGCCCCTTTCCACTAAAATGTTCTCCAATGACTCTTTTTAATTCACTCCCTGTCCTACTCTTTCCTCTATCACACATGCCTGTTGCTCAACCTCTCACAAAATACTTTGTCACCTTGGCCCTTTCTCCCTGGCTCCTGCCAGCCCTCCCATGCCTTTTTGCCCATTTCACTAATCTTGTTTTACCCATTTCCTGTGTTTGCCCTTCCCTCCTCAGGCTCTGCAGTTCTCTTGAGTCATCTCATATTTTCCTTTATGGGTTTGCATTGCAGTCAGGTGGTTTCTCCATTCCTCCTTCCTCCTCCTGCTTGGATGCCAGCAGAGGGAGCGGTTTGCACAGTTCCCAGAGTGTCGCTGCTTTCAGCCCAGCGCCTGCTACCGCAGGTACTCGGATGCACCACACCATCAGCAGAGATGGAAGAGCATTAATACCCAGTGATGTGATATCTTGCAGTAAATTCAGTTAGTCTCTTAGTGCTAGCTAAACAAAGGATAACTGTAAAAATGTCATCTCATGACGATTCATCTCTGAATTGTACTTCTCTTTTGCTTTCACCTTTTATCTTATTTCTTTATTCTTTCTTGGGGAAAGGAATAAAATTTAAGCTAACTCTTTTTGCTCAGGGAAATGCAAAAAAAAAAAAATGCAAGCCCTTTCCTCTCTGTAATCTGCAATACAAGGAAAAATAAATCTATAAATACCTTTGTCATATTAGCATGTAATCCTATACATTAAATGCTTCTTAATCTACAAAAGCTGTCAATGTTACTTATAAGAAAGTGACTTGACTGGGTTATCTGATTATTAATTTCTCTATAGATCTATAGAAGTATTCCTAACTTCTGCAAGAATTTGAACTGAGGGAGTAAACAAAGTGAGGGGGGGTTTAGCATAATTGGCATACATCTGTCAGTACTGAGATCCTTTGGCTTTTATGGTACAAGATTCTCCCCCTGCCTTCCCCTGCATCTTGGCCTTAAGGATGGAAATATTATGAAACTTAAGACATAAATCAGACATGAGCTAATAAATAATATCAAATAATAGTTATAATACTTTAGGCAATAAGCTTGCTATCAGCAACAAATCTATTTCCTTTTAAGATCTGAGGTACATTGCTTTTTCTTTCCCCTTTCTCATGTAAAGTGCAATTCATATTAGAAGCTTTCTCCCCAATACAGATTTGTTTTACACTCCTCAAGCTTTTATGTTTTGTTTTTTTAAAAGCAGAGTTCAGAACGATAGCAGATACACTGCTTAACTGTCACATCTCTAGTTTCTTTCTTTTGTTTTCCCTTTTTTCCTTTTTCCAAACAATCCTAACTGAATGTTTGGATTAATTTCATTAAAAAAGGACCTAAACAGTCAAGCCACCCAAGATGTCACAGGGTTATGTACAAGAGGTCTCATAAGACCTTTGGTACTCAGCACTGATGAGACCGTATCTCAAGTACTGTGTTTACTCTAATCTGGGTTAGAAGCCAAAAATCAAGATAGACAGGCAAGTACGTACCCCACATCAAACATCAAGCTTCAATTCTGGAAGATGGTCACTCAAAACTATGCAAATTCTAACTTGGCCAGCCATTCTAACTTGGCTTTTACCCACAACACTTTTACCATGGCATTATGCAGAGCGGCTTATAGGCATCAAAATTAATGACTGCTGCACACAGTTCAGTCAACATGGAGAAAGAAAACAGCATTTTCAGCTTCAGAAGTTAAAAACAAGGCAGCAAGAACAACAGTGTTAAAGAGACCCCCTGCTCTCCTGGACTGTGGAGGCCAAGCAAGGAGGACATTTCTGTAGAAGAACAGGAGAAAATGTGGTCTAAAACCTCTTGGGTAGTTAGACAAGCACCATGAGGAAGAGACATGATGACAGACCCAGGTGGAACTAGGTGAGGTTTCCAATGTTACTAAGGGCTTTAGAGGCATGGACAGACAAAAGCTCAGAGGGGTTTTGGAGATGAGTGAGCACTGGTCTGTGAGCACTATAGCTGCACCAATGTGCTGTTAACTCCCGCTAATGAGCTCTGTGGAAAGGTATAATAAAGGTATGCATGAGTTCCCTGGGCTGGGTATTCATCCTCAGAATGAAGAAAATCTGACCTGAAGATACATCAGAATAAAAAGCATTTAGTACAAGAATCAAAACTTGAACTAAGATCACCTTACTGTGGCAACACATTCTCTCAGCCCTATTGCAATGACTTTACCATACTTCCTTACATTACAACCATAAGTGTTAGTCAAAATGAAAACAAAATATCATTCTTACCTGATTTTGTCCCATGCCATGGCATGGGTAGAGTATGACCCTCTGTCCAGTTACTTGATGTTCATTTGTAGGGTTATAATCAAAGCAGAAGTTTTCCATTCCTCTATTCTTCAGCTAATCAAAACAAAAGAATATTTTAAAATATTAGTCTAAAGTAAGGAACATATTCTGTAGTCACTCTACACCCATCCTGATGGGCTCTGAGATTCATCCCAAAGCTAGTGGAATAAAAGCAAAGCAACGGGAATAGATCAAAGGGATGCAATGGTAACATCTCTCAGACTAATATGAAATAAAACTGGACCATCTTGACTCTGAGCACTGAAGCAGCCAGACACGATGGCTTCCCCTAGGAATGACACTGTGTTCCAACGTATTTGCAAAGGAAGTGGGTAGAAATTATGAAAAAGTGTGTTGAAACCCAACAAGCCAGCAACTCATGCAGAACAAAAGAGTCTGCCATGCCTTTTTCCCCCAGGATCTACTTGTTCAATTTTCTTATGAAAAGATGACTACATACTTTACTCAGTTTGTCAAATGGGAAATGTTAGGAGGATTTGTTCTCAAAAGGACTCCAGTACCCTCTTGAGGCAGAACAAGCAGACAGATTTTAGGATCAGAAATCTTGAATGTGGGCAAAAATGTATCTTTGGAAAGAGACACTAGGTGTGATATTAAATGCTCTTTACTCATGTTGCTGATCTCTGATAGAAGAGGTGCATGACTTCCAGACAAAATTTTAAAATATTAAGTTAGCTAATTTTAAAAACAGGCTAGTTAACAAGGATTTGCATTTAAGTATTCAGGAGGCAAAAGTAACTGAAAATAAGTTAAACAATCACATTGATTCGTGGTATTAGCCACATAACCAAATTTGAAAACACACAGAGCAGAATAGGTTTGGTAAACAAGAAGCTGAATGCCCCTGTTACTGAGTGTAATTATATCACAGATGAAAAGCATAGGCAGAGTAAATCTCAGAAGAGTTAGTTCAGCAAGGTGTAATTTCACTGCTCTTCCCTAGTTATGATAATCGTATCCTGAGTTCTTAATGTGGAAAATGAGCGGACACATAGGGATTGCAGGCGGCTAGAACTAAACAAACAAGACAAACCCTGCGGGGCCTAAACCCACCACAGAGCGAACCACACAAGCTGGAAAATTAAATACTGGTGTTCTGTATATGTTTGCTTTGCCAACTTCTACTTTTAGTGCTCCCCAACATCATCTTTCCACTGCCTTGTGCTCACTCCCACATTAGACCACTGCAACCCTCCTTGGACAGTCAAAAGAAAACATTTTGTTTACTTTCCTAATGGGAGACAAGAATTACACTTAGAAAAACAGGAAAGAGAAGTGTCTTACATAGACTATTTTTAACATTGCCATGGAACTACATAAACCAAACAATAAGCTTCTCATGTTTCTACATTCTACATCAGGAAACATCAACCTAAAAGTCATAACCACTTAAAATGGTAATTTTATCTCTTCAGTTGTTGTTGTCAGCAGCTGTCTTCAGGACTAGAGGGTCTCCCATTAGTAGTTTTAATAACATATGACTCTGCCTGACTGTCTACTGGCTCCAAGGGCAGCAAAGCCCTTATCCATGGTGCCCTTCCAGGCAACCCAATGACTTCACTAGTGCTCTTTTCCACTGGCCCCTGGCACATGCTCAAGCGTGAGCTCCCTTTTGGGAAATTTTAAATAATCTGCTTGAAAATGCCCTGCACCACCAGAACTACAGTAACTCTCATATGAATGTTACTCAATGCCCAAATACACACAGCAAAAAGAGAAATAAAAGCTTACTAAACTTAAGCTTCATTTCATATGATTTGAAAATGAGGTTGTGCTCCAGGATGCTACCATGTATGTTCTCTCCTTTTTCTCTTTCATGCACAAATGCTTGTGATACATGCCGACATCTTCCTACATGTACAGGGTCTATGTGGTTCACCTGGTTCTTTTTTGTCAGACATTGATAGATATGCCCACACTTCATCAGGAAGCCCAATAGGTATTCAAGACCTAATTAGTGGGAATAGTATATTCTAAGCTTTTAAATTATCTGACCTGAAATGACACAAAAATTTGAAAATCTGACTGCAGCACCATTTATTAAAAAAACTCAAACAAACAAACAAACAAAAAAAAACCCATACACATCTGCCCTCTGTTCCAAGGCATTAAAAAAAAGTTTGAGAGAATTTGTGAAATATTTTTCTCTTGTTAAATGAAAATATACAGTTTAAGTATCTTTTATGTGCAAGAGCTCTATCAAAACAGTGATCATCCACTCATTTCTGAAGTTATGTTTATTCCCACATCCACCATAAACAAGTCATGCAACAAGAACGAAATTTTCTCTGTGACTTACCTTAGTTCTTTTGCAGAATGCTGCATTAGAGAAATAGAAGCAAGAAAAAATGTTGATCACCTTGCCATTAAAACACATTGTTCAGATCCAAAACAACGTACCCATGCAGGACTATCGGCTGTCAGCATTTTTTACAGCTATTTTTACAGCATTTGCCTCCTATTGATACATTGCTATTGAAACTAAAGGTGTCACTCTACATGCCATTTAGTTACCACTGTTTGGAGGTTGAGATAGGTAATAAACACCATCTACCAAGATATTCAGCAGACCTTAACCTTTACTGCTAGGAGATATTTAAATCTATTGTTTCCTAATATCTGGACACTTGCATATAACTACACAATACAGATGGCATTCTATGAATAATTCTTAGTTTGATAAAGTCCATTGTAAACAAACCATCAACAACAGATTTTTGACATTAAAACTTCATTGCATTAGTTGATAAGTATGGCCAATGGAGTCCTGCTAACCTTTCTCTATATCCACAAAATAGATCAGAATCCTCTTTATTCTGCCAGTGACAGTGGTGCTGATCTGTTAGTGCTATGGACAGATGATACTGTGGGATGCAGTAAGATATGAATTTGCAGCAAGCTAAACAGCTTCACCAGTACTGATCAAACATCAGCTTTTAACTCAAAGGTAATCCAAGCAGTCACAGGGAATGATTCTACTGAGTGAATGCTATTTTCATATCACCTGTTAACTTCTTAAGGGCAATGCTGAAAAGGGCATACAACACTGATGACTAAAACCCTCTGAAGGAAGGTGACACACTGCTGTTGGATTCATTGGCTCACCCCAACAGGCCCAAATCTCCCTGGGAAGCTCAAAAAAGTATAAGCACGTGGTTCAGGCAATGGTGTGTTCACTACCAAACACCTGAATTTCTTCCAAAGATTTCTTTTACAAAGCCTCTGCCTAGCTTTCAGAGGCTGTACAGCCAACCAAGTGGTGCATATTTTCCTGTGATGGGCATAAGGTCTCCAGGTCTAGTCAATCCTAACCTTGGCTACCAATTCAATCTCAAGTGGCAGCTCTACAAATTGGATTATAATGCAGTTTTAGAGGTATACCCTAGAGAAGGGACCCTGATACTTCTGAGTACTTGAAGCACCAGTCATGCAATATCTTTGATTACGTAATTCAAACCACATAGCTCTCTTCTTCTGCAAGCCCGTCCATATATGTCATGTGTTCTTTAGATAATTTAAATAATGGTCCCTTTCATGTTGCAGCAAAACAAAATTCTTTGCAGTTTAAAATCTTCCTTCTCATTTTTTTTAATATTACACCTAGTCTAAATTGAAAGAAAATTATGACCGAGCACTTTTAAATGAAGACAAGATAATCTTGAAGGGAAACGGGGAAGGAAGCTGTCAAAAGAAAAATTCAGGTTTTTGATTTCTCAACTGACTCAGTCAGTGACAGATGCCTTTACCGATAGAAGGCAGAGAGACCAGACAGAAAGTCCCAGCACAAGACATCTATCAGCTTAGTGGCTTTACATTCAGCTGAAAGAAATATCAGCTAGAAACTGAGAAAAACAAAGAAAAACTTATCATGTCAGAACATAGTATGGTCTCACTGCCAAGTGATCAAACTTAAGAGAAAATTAGAGTAAATTCCTGATTTTTGTGTCACCATTGTTTTTTAAAAGCAATCTTGATGTCAACCTTAAAGCCAAATTCACTGACTGACCATAATCTTTATCCTTGGATATGCACCTCAATGCCAGCCATACTTAATACATACCTCAGAAGAGAGAAGAGCCCTGACTGCTTCCTTGCTTTGCAGCCGTGCCTTTCCACAGTCACCGATAACGTGAAAAGATCACAGAGCTGCCCAGCTCCTCTATCTTCATCCAGCTGCACAATGCAGAGATTTCACCACACTAATACTGAACACACCAGCTGGCTCAGAGCTCTTCCTACAGATGCCCACACCATCCCTTCCCAGGGTAGTTAGGATTTGTAAGCTGAGTCTGCTGTCTAGGTGGGCAATCTGTGCAGAGCTGGGGCTAAAGTCTTGTTACAATTTCACACCTACCTACTGGTAGGTAGGTACTCTGCCGTAAGTGCATGCTCAAGGACGGCCAAATCAGAGGCTGTGCCAGAAAAAGACACATCAGTGTGCTACGCCAGAGCCTAAAAGGTATTATCAGCCTTTCCAGAAGTGCTGACATCTTATCATTGAAACCTGCTGAGTGCCTACCAGCTTCACTTCCTCCTGCTCCCCCAAAGAAATTATTCAAGGCAGAAGGTTCATGTCCCACAAAGTTCCAAAGCTGCATGAAGCCCAAGGAGCAGCAAGAAAATATTTCTCTTTTTTATAGGTCTCAGGCAGTTTGCAGGAATGCAATCATATCTCAGGCAAAAAGGTTCATAATTCACTATGTTTAAGTAAAGTTTGAGGCAGCTAACTTTTTAGGTAACCAAGGGTAGTATGGATATTTTTATCTATGTATCAAGATAAAAAATGTAGCTTATTCAGTGATGTGCACTGAATGCTGCTCAATAATTCTTGACTCCATTTGAATAACACATGGCTGACTTATAGGTAATCTTAGAAATATTTTCAACTTCAGTACAAAAGTAAAAAGACTTTTAAGGGAGGTAAAAATCTTCATATTCCCTTGTATTGTCTTTGAACAATTAAATAATCTCACACTAAGCTGAGCTGTTATCAAAGCTGACACTTTTAAACACAGTATTTTTGTGAACCAGAAAAGCCCTACACAGCTAAGGCGGGAGTGAAGAACACCATCAGTGATTCATTGAAGCTAGCAGATGGGACTCAATATCCACAAATCAGCTGAATCAGTAGGTGTCGTTTCTGCACTCTCAGTTTCTCAGAGTACAACCATATTTCCGTCACATTTTAAATTCTTCCTCCCCCCCAAAAATGGTGTATTCTCATTATGCTCACAACTAGATGACAGCATTTATGAATTGTTTTTAGAGAAATATATAGAGCACACCTAAATTACACTGTAGATACCTCAAGCAGCGCTGAACAAGAGTTATTATTTCTGGGTACTGTCAACTCCTTGCCTGAAGATGACAATTAAATCATAAAAGAAACTGCACAAATCCCTTCTCTTTGCACCAGTCTAACCCTTTCTTTTGGAGGGAGAAGGATGGAGGTGAAGAGAAGGATAAAATTCCTGAAATGCTCCTGGAAGGTAAGTCTTATAATACCTTACTGCTTCAACTCTCTCAGAATTTACCCGTGGCAATCCAGCACAAAAGAGCAAAAACAGAACTGATCTTCCAGGGTTTGTTCAAGGTACTGAATGATGTTGGGTAACACCTTTCACACCAGTGATCACACAGAGATACCACCCTCTCCTGCAAGCTCCAAGACAAATGGAGGAGGGTGGCAATTCTCCCAGAGGCTCCTAAGGGCTTTTCTGACAATTGCTGCCCTCCCCATGGGAACTCCCACAGCTCCCCAGGGGAAACCACAGCATTTCCACATTAGGATCTTTTTCATTCAACAAGTTATGAAGCTATTAGGGCAGACTGTGGGGAGACTTGGTTCCTGAATGTTTTGTATGTCCACAGAGATCAGATTTTTTTTTCCCTTTCCTGAAGGAGATTCAGCAGAGGCTGAGTAACTTGGGGAAGGGTAGATGGCAGCAAGACAAGGGCTGGATGTGATGATGCAGTGTGGGAATGCAGCTTAGCTGGATCTGCAGAGGAATTGAGTTACCAGCAAAAGTACTTTTCAGTCAATGTGGCATTTGGTAATTAGGAAGGTATTTGATACATCTTTGCCTGGTGGAAAGGTGCAGTTTTGTGTTCCTAACATGCAGCAGGTATCTGGTGATTTTTCAGAGGAAACAGCTATTTGCTGCATCATCTCTGCCTTCATCCCTTCCAGATGAGATTACAGTAATGTAATATACACAGAGCTATAGTTTATATTTATTTGTAAGCTGCAAAAAGCATAAAGAGCTGTCAACTCTTAAAAGAGAAGAGGTTTCTGATATTGAACTCATTGCCTGTGCCCTTGCTGCTCTAAAGTGACCTCCAGATTAAAAATTAATATGTTGGTTTAATATACAGAATCCCATATGATCTGGAAGCACTTAGCACCAACTCTCTTTCCCATCACCAGAGCACCATAGTTTTCATCAGATAAAATGTATGAACATATGTTTCAGAGCACACTCCTTTTCAATTCAACAAGTAAAATAAAACACTTTACTGTTCTCTTTTTTTGTTACACAACATTTCAAGAAATAAAAATCACATCCTTTCCTGCCTTTAACAGTCCCAAGATGTCACTTAGAAGGAGTAATTCATGACATTACCTGTTCTCCTACTCTGTCACAGAACTCCTTCATAAACAGCATTCCCTTAAATAAAGATTCTGATAGATACCACATTTTAAAACCCACCAGTTTTAACTGAATTCTACCAAAATCCCAAACTGATTTAGGCACAAAAATACCTTCACACTGACTTAGGTAGGAGAGCTCAGAGAACTGCAAGTAGGCTCCCTTCTCAGCAGCCACGTACCATTCCAAAGAAGCCTGGTCTGTCCTCGGGTACGTGAAGTTCTGGATACACGTTCTCCAAAAACCATTTGAAGTCCTTACATTTCAGCTTCTCTCGTAGAAGTCTCCTTTCTGTCACATCTCCATATGGTTCCTGGGAAAAAAAGAAAGGAAAGGAAAGGAAAGAAGAAAAAAAATTAAAAAAAAAAATCCAGAACAGATGCTCTCTTTTAAATTATCTGTATACATTATTAGGAACCGTATGCTACAGTGATGAGTAGGACTTGTAGCCAGGAAAAATCACCATGTTTGGGTGCTGGATTTGATTTCATTATCCTTACATTTGTTAAATGCTGACAAAAAAGAATTTGAACTGTGCAAGTAGTACTTTAAAATATTCTAGAAGACAGTTTGTCTAAGAAAACTCCCTGAATCTGCAAGTGAGGAAGCCCTTGAATACAGATTGCTGGAGACTGAGAAGGCGTATTGGAAAATGAGACTTCCTTTAGATAGATAATTGAAAATCTCCAAAGCAGTGAATGAATCTTTAGGATGTTAAATTATACCACTACCCATTTGCAAATTACCTGTACAGTTTTACACTTAAGTGATGAAATTTGTAAAATGTGCTAATGCATCCCTTGAACTTCACCATTTTGGGGGGTGGGGAATATGAAATCTTAAACTTCCAGAGAAAAGCTTTCATTGCAGACATTTCCCTGTCTATGGATTGGAGCAGAGTCCACATCTTTTTATGTCTGTCTTCAAAAACCTGTCTTCATATTGACTAGGGATTTCAGATAGTCAGGCATGAGAGAGTGTTTGCAGCCCCCAGATTTTTTCAGGTCACTTGACGCAGTCTTTCATCAAACCACAAATGAATTTGCATTTCTCAAAGCTGTAGAAATACCACTGAAAACACAAAGCAGATGTAAAACAGAGATGCCTGTTTGAATAAACAAACAGCACGACATATTAGCTCTGAGGTCTGAACATTAATCTTCAAGTGAAACTTCATGGAACCAATTTTTGCAGCCATAACATCAATCATTTTCCTGTTATGCTACAGAACTGAATATTTGGGTTTGATGAAGTAAAAAGGTCTGAACTCAACTGCTGCAACAAGTGGTGCACAGAGCATTATGGAAACCAAAGTTCATTGGCAGCAGCTTTGATATGAGGAAAAATAACCTGCATGAGTTTCAGCTTATATCCACTGTGTTACAATAAGCCAATACATGAAACTTTCAGTACTAACACACAAATATCCTTTGAAGTTAAAGCTCTGTCATTACAGACATAAGATGCCCAGCACTTTACAAGACAAATTGTCAGCATTTATTGCTCTTTTTGTGTATGACAAGCTGAAATCAGCCTGGCATTGCCTATGGGCGAATCCCATATTTCTCTCCAAGTCAAGACTCTGATAATAAAACCTAAATGGCTTTTATGACATTAAAGTAAACCAATTATTACAAATGTGTGGACTATAATGACCTAATTACCCAATTTCATCCAAACAAACACAAGAGGAAAGCTAATCAAATTCATCTTCTCCAGCATCCTCCAGTGTATCTTTTAAAAGCCTCATGTTTTCAAGGGCAGTTTTCCCCTGCTGCGTCTATTGGAGTTGGCCACTAAAAAAAGTGGGGGGCTCCCTGTGCCCCACACTGGTCCCTCAGGTCTGATCCAGTGCAGCTGGAGGCTGATGCCCAGCAGCCCATCCCAGGCACAAAAACAAAAAGGCAGTGTTTAGAAAACTTTTCATGCAAATAGATCATGCTGGGGAGATCAGGCACCTCCAGAAACAAGCAACAGCAGACAATGATTTCTTTGGGGCCTGAATTTCAGACCTTGTGACAGAGGTTCATTTAATTAATTTCTAGACACTGTGAGAATCTTTCAGTGTTACTGTTTTCCAGCCTTCAGGCCCCTAACAATAAATACATCCAAGTTATGAATTTGCACACTCCTTCACTGTAAAAACTAAGTTTTGACATACTTAGTTTTTACAGTAATAATCTCCTGAAAAATTCTGCAACCAATGATCTTGTATTTTCATTTTGAAGTGAAAATCAGTCCATCAGTCCAAAGTTTTACAAGTATCACAAGCTGGGTAATTTTGCTAAATATTATTACCATGCTGTTTACCTGAAGGTCTACTGTCTACTGAAACTTGTTGATTTTCATTCATTAATTGTGTAATTCTTATTGAGAGTCCTGTATCAGCCATTTCACAGAAGTGCACATTTTAGGCTAAACAACTCCTCCTTGCTTTGATGACCCCACTTCACATTATTCTTTAATTTATTCACTTATTATTGACATAGGTTGGGCCACCTTGTACTCTTACAGAATTTTAAATTTTTTCCAAAGAATTAAAAATTATACACTTATTCTATGTCTGGGAAAAAAATTCAGAAGGAATAAGAAATAAACATAGAAAGCTTCATGTTAAATATTAGCTTAGTCAATAGTTAGTAGGTTGAAAACAAATTCTGAAATTCCAGGAACAATGGAGTTGAACTCACCAGGCGAGCGTGTGGGTTTCGGTGGTAATAAAGTTGTTTATATTCATCCATCCACACTTCAGCTGCACGCACACTGTTTGCCAGAGCTTTGGCCCGTGAATATGGAGCTTGTTTGGGGAAAACATGACCTACATGGGAGCAAGGATGGATCTCAAGACTTCCTCCACACTGCCATATCTGAGCAAAGAATTGACAGTGTGTATCATTAATTTTGTCTTTTGCAAGCTCAAGGACATAGTAACAATAAGCCCGTGTAAGAATAACACCATCTCAAGAATACCACACCATGCTACATGTAACACATACAATAATTTTGTGTCTCATTTGATGACTAAACTGGATAAAATTACATTCTTGTTGCTCTTAGTAATTTGCTCTGAATTCACAAGGAGATAATCACTCTCTGGTTTTATCTGGAGTGCAATATTCCTTTCTTAGTTTTATTTTCTCATGATAAGATGTGGTCTACCATATAAGTTATGCATATAAGTTATGCAGGCATTGTTTAAAAAAAAAATAAAAGTTTACATGTTTATTTTCCATGTAAATAACTACCTCAGAAAGAAACCATTAACTAATTATTACCAGAAATCTATAGATCTATATACCATCTATATATTCTACTGGAAAGCTGACTTGACAACACAGGTAAGCTTCCCATTTGTACATTTACCAATCTAAAAGGGAGGCATAGGTGCCTGGTGATAAAATCCCACTAGCTTTTTCCATTGGAAAGCTGGGAAAGTACCCCAGACCCAACATATTAAAAGAAAAAACAAAGTAATTCTATAACTTATGGTGGTCCAACCAACAACCTCCCCTATCTAAACCAATATTCCTGCTTGGTGCCAAGGAAGTACTTGCACCTAATTGTGGAATTGGCAGATCCCTGCAAACCATCACTCTGTCCTTGCGCTCATGCTCCTGCCTCTCTGGCTCCCCAGGTTGGGAAACGTATAGCCCATGAGATAAAGTCCAGAAACAACCATCAAGTGGATCCATTAGCCTCAGCACTCTGTACACATTTTTGTAATTACATTCTTCTCCTCTGAAAACCAAGGACTTTTGGCAGTTCATCTACACAGCCACTTTCCCATCACTCATTCTGATCTCAGGTTTGATTACTTGAAAGGAAAGCATAGCTAGACATTTCCTATCCAATATTGTGTGTGACCACACCATAGCAGATGCCCTGTTTCTGAGGGGTGCCTGAAACAAGGTTTCTGAAATTATGCCAGCTGAGAGGAAGGCCGGATATGTTCCTGTACTTGAGCTAACTTGAGGCTGTTATCAATGGATAACAAAGATAGACTTTCCATAAAAGATTTAGAATTCTCCTCATGTATTCAACCACGTATAAGTGGCAGCTCATCATTCCTTTGTAAATGGAAGACAAAGGAAATTAGCTGGGATAGGCTTAAGGGGTAGAGGTTTGCTCCCTGACAACCTTCTCGTATAAGACATACATTTTTAATTACGTGCTATTCAAATGAATACAGCAGGACTGCAAGATATGAGGTAGCAAATAAAAGCTCTGCTGCTAACAGTGTCAAAAGATCAGTGGTGGCACTTTTCCCACCTCTCTCTCTGGGAGTTTTAGGGATCTAAAAAGATAAAGGCTTTCAGCTCATACAAGATAGGACTTGGGTTTAGACTGCTAACTTTTAGGGGTTTTTTAAAAGTTACTTAGAATTTCTCTAAAATTTCTAAATTTGGAAATCAATGAGTGTCATCTCCATTGATTTGGTTTTGGATAACAACATCAGACTTTCTGCATGGCACAATACTGTATTTAATTATCAAAGTGTAAGCACTGTAACACTTGTGTTTACTTTTAAAACAGAAAGTTTCTTTAAAGATATAGGTAATTCATTAATCAGCTATAGGGAGTATTGGATAATTATTACTTCCTGGATTTAAAATTGTAATTTCTTGTTTTCCATGTGAGGTTTCTCTCCTCTTTTTTGCTGCTTTTCAGGGAAGGAGAATATTTGTCATTTGAACAAAGATGATTAAAGGAATTATACAAGAAATCTAGAATTCTGTACTAATCTTTTAAACGATTTGCATATTTTCTTAGGTAAATTACTTCACTGCCATTTTGAAAGCTGCTATGAAACCAACTATCCACTTTCACTTTACAACCTCCTTTTTTGAGATTTATTTCAAAACAACATTTTTCATAATTATTATTTCTATGTTCAAGATTATTTTTTTAAAGCTACAGTTTACCATTCAAGATTTGTCAGCAAATATTAAGAGCCATAAGTTTATTAGTTTAATAATTTCCAATGTTATATTCCACATAAGAATTATTAATTCATCTTTATTTATCTACTTTTAAAAAAGATATTAGGAACAGATGATAAAGACTACTGAAATAAAAATGTAGTTAAGAAGGAAGCACATGCTTCAGCTCTTCCATGATAAAATTTGATTTCAAAGGAATGAAACAAACTGACCATATCGCTGTTAAATTGATGGCAAAAAGAGAATTCCATAACAGCTGAATTTTTAATAATTAAAGCTCTCTAAAAAATAACTGTAGGTTGCTAAGCAATGCTCATTAAATTCTAAGTATTTCATAAAAACAGTACAAAAATTATCTTGTCATCCTATTACAAAAGAAAATTGAATATACCTCAGCTAAACAATTCCTCAAAAGGTTTATTCACTTTCATTTTAATGGAAAAATTATGACCTCTATATAAAATCAGGTACAAATGAACAGCCATAAAATAAAGCGAAGAATTTAATAGAGAAACTAAAGTTGATTACTAAATGCTAAGTAAGTGGCTCTGCAGAAGATTTTCCATAAAACTAGTTCAACGTTCTGTAACAGAAAAGCACATAAGGTTTCATGCATATTTTGCAAGCTCACGTACATTTAGATCTGTTTCTTTACTAGGTCTGGGTAACTCAGAGTTCTCATTATAAAAGCATACATTTTTCCTCCACTTCAATAAGAAAACAAGGTGACATTCCTTTTTTCACTTTCACTTTCATCTCGATGCATGCAGACTATCGGCATATTTTCTTTTGTTTTCAGAGACAGATGGTGGCATTATGAAAACTTACAGAAAATGTTCAAAATCTCACCTTGGGATTGCTGCCTCTGCCAGGGTCTCTGGACAATTGACCTTGTGCTGGGTCAATGAATACTAAAGAATAAAAGCTCTACCAGCTCATTCTAACATTTTAAGACTATCTGGAAGAAATAAAAAATATAGAAAGGACGCTACATCCTAAAAAAGGGCAAAATGTGGAAAACCCTACGTTTCTGCTGCTCTCTCTCTGCTGCAATTTTTTCTTGACAACTTGTGGCTAAGCCCCCAGTGTGGTGCTCATGCACAATCGGCCAGAAGCTGGGTGGGTGGAGAGGCACCCCAGACACACAGACTCACCCTGGCTGCTCTCAGCACAAGACAGAGTTCCAGATCCAGACAAAAAGAAACCATACAAAAATACTGGAAAAGAGACGACCCCAGGTGTTCTGAGGCATATAACCCAGGCTCATGGGCAGTAACATTTCTGAGAAGAAAGGTTTTTTTGCACATGGTAGGCTGAAGGACAGCCCACAGACATATTAAGCCTTGGTCCAGAAACAAACTTACATTGCAGCACCACTTGCAGGACCAAGAGCAGATAGGAACAGAAGCTGCAACCAGGTTCCCTTTGCTCTGAGTACAAAAGGGAGAAGATGAAAGAGCATGTTTTGAATCCCTCAGAAAGAGGAGTTTCAATGCCCATTATGCCCATGAAGTGAAATTTTATCCAGCCAAATAGCATTAAGCAATCCAAAATCAAGGTACATTGACTCGATTCTGCATTCAGCACGTAGCCTCCATCTCTCTTAGTCATCATGCTTTTAGTGAAAGCATTGTCCTTGTTGCACCTCTCAAAACCACAGAGAATTTCTTCAGTTCAGAATAATCAAAGTGCAAGAAATAGGAGGCTTGAGAACAAGTCTTTTCATGTCATTGGGAGAGAGTGGTGTTTTCAGAGACGAGAGCAACAATAAATTAATTTACAGTGGTTTTGAGTAGTTCTGCTCCTAATTTTCAGGTCTGACAGGTTTAGAAAACATGAGGACAACAACACTAACAATGATTTATCCCTTCCGACCTCTTGGAACACCGCAGGCAGCCAAAAGAACAGTTAAACAACATCGTAGCACTCTGCTCTGTTCCACAAAAATCCTCTCCACACGGAGCACAAGTACAAGGGCTCCAAATCAAACAGAGCAAAACATGTTGCGTACAAACACCCAGATGCTGCTGGCAATCTGCACTAGGAAAACTGGCATGGCCAGGCATATTTGTTGGCCACTGCACAGCCTGGCCTGTTAAATCATTTGTCTCCCAGGAGTTGCTTGAACCACCTGCTGGCTTTGACCCTTGCAGAGTGTTTGTGCACTCTCTCCTGGGGACTCTGCTGCTCCCTTTGTGCATCTCCTGTGTGCTAGGCCATGTCTGATGCTTCCTCTGTCCCATGAGGAGACCACAGTCCTGCATGCTGAAGGAGTAAAGGCACTGCTCACACATCCTGCTGCACCCCACCGAGTCCCGGATCAGGGGAACCAGTGACGTGAAAAATGAGACTGGCTGCCAGAGCTTCACAGAGGTCAATGGCAATGGAAGGGGAGCAACAGCTGGTACTGGGGCACTCTGAGTCAGAAGGAACTGACTGTCAGGCTGTCTGCAAGCCTTGGTCTCCTCAGAAGCAAGACACAAAGAGCAGAAAGCCAAGAATAGCATGCCAAATGTGCCCTATTGGAGGTTTTCTTCAAGGAGTTGAAGTCCTGAATACACCAGAACAGGAGACTCCTGCTTCAGAGGGTCACAGGGCTGATGGAGGTGGGTCAACTGCTTCCCACTTCAGGTGGAGGCCTGCTGAACTAGACCAAGACTACTGAGTAGGCTGTGTTTGGGTTTACATGCCAAAAACTGCTCCCTAGGTGAAAAAGAAGGTGGTCGTGAACTCAGATCAAACAGTTTCCAGCAGAGAAGTCTCGCTCCAGAAAGAAACCACACCAACTCTAGGCCTGTGCTTGTTATCATTCCTAATAATTTTTTTCCTTATACCCTCTTTTCTATGATTTCTGCACTGTGTGCAGCAGGAGATTGTAACAGCAGCCAGGAAGACTCCATGCTTCTCTGGTTAACACAGAGACATCCAGAGACACAGCCTGCTCATGTCTCCTTTCTCAAGAAAGTGGTTTTGTAACATTAAAATGCTATTTAACCTTGAAATCTGTTGTCACCTGGTAAAAAAATCCAAAAACCCTCCTGTACCATGAGTCAATTACCCACAGAAATGCAAACATGACCAAAAATAACAGGTGATGGGCACAACAAACAAGGGTAATCCAGGATAATAAGCATGAACCCCCTGAAAGCCAAAAGAGGCCCTACAGCACCCATCTTACATCACCACTGGATGGCTTCAATGAGCTAAGTGTGATTTGGGGTAAAGCACAGGCAGCCAGTGCTCAGTGGGAATCAGCACTGGTAACAGCGGAGCAGAGGAGAACACTGCTTTGCTGATCAGTCTGGACTGTCCTGTGTCTCCTCCTGTTTTCCTGCTGTAAATCCTTTCCATTACAGCTATCTGACTCACACCTGAGCACTTGGTCACGCCTCCTGTGGGCACAACTCTACAGTTACTGGAGATCTTCCCTCCCACCCTTTATAACCTTTGTACAAACTTTTTCTGAGGTGAAACAGAATAAAGCCTTAAAATTAGTACAGGGGCTGCCTTCTCCTGCCCCACTGGGAACGGCTCGCTCCATCAGCCACAGCAAGAACTCTGAGTCACACCAAAGCACTACAAATCTTCTTCCCAATGACCTCCTTCAAGCTGCAGGATGTAAACTTCACCCACTAGTATCACACCCCTTTTTACATTTTATACTAGAGCTCAAAACAAAGACATGTATTTAAAAATTGCTTTAAAATGGCTATTTGGAAGAAAAGTACAGCTATCCTGAAGTGCAAGAACAAGATACTTCCTAAATACTCCCTTCTTAGCACTTGCTTACATTACAGCTACCTCATTAAGTAAAAGGGCATGAAGAAAGAAACAGGAACTTGTTGTATACTGAGGAAAAGAAACTTTCAATTAAGCCACCTACCCTAAATGAGAATTCAAGGTTTTCTCCTCCCCAGACTTCCATTCCTGTGTCATAGGAACCAAGGTAATCAAAATACTTCTTGCTCACAGAAAATAATCCACCTGCCATGGTTGGAGACCTATAAAAGAGAAGAGTAACTTTGAACTGAATAAAAAGTATTAAACCAATGCAACAGATTAAAAAACACAATATATTTTTATTTTCTATTTTCTCAGTCTTTTCTGGATACGCATCTGAAACAACACTGGAATATAAATATATTGTGTTAAAATAAATTTTTCCAATTGCAGTGGCTGTGAGTAAATGAAGAGCCTCTTCACATAACAGAACATTACCTTCTTTGTGGCAGAACTGTATTAGTTGGCTCTGAAATTCTAAGTGCTGTATCCTTATCTATTTCACTTAAGCAATAATTACAGAAATACTTGTGCTTTAGTAATTAACACCAACACTCTTGATCCCACTAATATCAACTGAAAAAACTCTCAGACTTCAATTATTAAGTAAATATAGCCCCTAAAGAGATTTGTTTTCTTTCTAAGAAAATCTACCTATCTGTATGTTCTTAAATTTTTTACTAAGTTTGGGGGAAAAAAAAAAATCAGGAGTCGTGGCTGGGTCCTCATTGAAGATCACAAGGCCCAGAATGACAGCACACTTAAGGGATATACTTCCATTATGGTAGAATGTGCACATATACATAAATTAGTATTTGTTCAGTATTGTTCCCTATTGTTTACAGTCTTAGGATTACTTTCTTTAAAGTGCCAAGTATATAATGCTGATTAGACCTAAGTTCAGTTGACATTATGTGAATTTTACTAAATTGCTGTTGAGGTAAATATCAACAAAAGTGAGATGCATGATCAACTACGCTTAATCTGTCAAAACTAATTTTACCAGCTATCTTTTTGAAGCAACACTGTCTCACACTGTCATATGTTGTTTCAAAGAATGGAATGAGATGAGACAAGACAGAAGGAAAAATAACAAACTCCATAACCAGTCAAGTCCTTCTGTTTCCCTCCAGATCTCTCCAAACCAAGCTGTTGGTGACACCACTTCCAGCACTGCTGCTTTCTCCAGACACTTGTTGAGCTCAGTCCTCAGGCTACCATGAAACTTTATCCCTCCTCATTTTCCTCTTGGCATATCAAAGACAATTCTTTTTATTATGAACAAAAAAAATGCATCATATTTGAACTAAATGTTTTAAAAAACATTTACTCTATTTGGATTCTTTTTTAAGGAGGACATGGACAAATACATGCTGAGAAAGACTCAATTACTACCTCACTTTTCCCATTTTAAAAAAAGTTCATTCTGTTGAGGATAAGTACTTTAATATTTGTGAAATACTGGGTATTAATATCATGATAAGCAACTTACAAAAATCAAGAAAAATTAATAATTCCATTTTTTTTGTGGTCCATACAATAACAGATAAAAGTACTGACAAAATGATGGTGTTAAAAATGCCAAACAGGTTAATTTACTTCAACAAACTGCTGAAATACAGAAACTTCCATAGCAGATGGGGCTAGGTTGAACACGGCAGATCCTATCTACCATTCCCATTTTCCAGATGCCTTGTCTGTTCTATTCTCTTACCTCTCCAAAAATACCATGTTGAGTGACAAATTATACCAACTGATGGCATTTTGTTTTAAAATAAAACAAAATTAAAACCCATTATGAAGACATCAGCCTGAGCTCTGCAAGTTAGCCCTTCACAGAAACCACTGTGGATAGAGCCATATTGTTTCACCCCAGCAAAGAACTGGCAAAATGGTTCAACTTTGAAAATAGCACAGTGAACTACAATTATCATTACAGCACAGAAAAAAAATCTTCAAAACTACTTTTACCTTCTTACTGGTTGGTGATTTTTTTCCCCTTTTGATCATTGTCCATGATACATTTTTTTTTACAACACAGAGCTCTTTGCTTTGCACAGAGGACATCCTCCAGTATTAGTTAATCAGTTACACTCTTTCCATGTGCTGGTAAGCATCTGTAAGAGTTTGTCTAGAGGAGTCAAGAGACTACTTTGCAATAAGCTTTCCATATGAAAGATGAAACAGGATTTTCAACTTTTAGAGCACTGTTTTTTCCAGGAACACAGGAAACAGGAGCTATTTTGGAAAAAAATGGGGAACTAAACAAAATACATACTTTTTAGTAATATGTCAATTTCTCAAATATCTTTCAGCACCTGGCATTTTCAGGTGAAATCAAAAACACATTCACAGTTTCTAGGATGCATAAAAATTAACCTGATCACATCAGTCTTGGACTTCCTCCGTTTTTGTTCTCTTTCAGGGGTACTGTGCCAAGTGAAGACCAGGCGCCAATCAAATCCACCAATCTGTGGCTCACCAGCATTTCCCAAGTACTCAAATGTGTTCCAGTCAATAACATCAATAACAGGGCAGACAACAGCTGTTTCTTCTTCAGCAATCCTGATAAGGTTTTAAAACAAAAGGGTGACTTCCATTAGATACATCTCTAAAAATAAATTAAAAAACCCACTAGAACTGACAAGAACAAAGAATGCTTACAATATCAAACATGAAGTTTTGCTCCTTTTCAATTCATGCTGCAATAAGAAGGAAATGATGGTCCAGTAAATACAAGAATAACCCCCATTTTCCTACATCAGGAGGATGTATCAGGATGGACTCCGCTGGCAAGCATCAACCTTTCTGGATGATGGAAGCAAGATATGCCAGATGGCTTGAGATAACACATTCAGCATCTGGCTTGGCTGCCATAGCCAGCACCACTTCATCAAGTAAAAAATGTTCATTTTCTTTTGTACAGGTAGCTGTTTAAGAGAGCAGTCTGATTGCATACTTTTGCAGTGATGAATAATAAACCAGCCAGACTCTTGGCCCTTGTAGTCATGGCTGTTCTTGTAACCGGGATCATCTGCAAATGTTGTAGTGAGTACTGTAACAGGAACTCAAAAAGAAGCCCTGAGCTTAGAAGAAACCAAACCTGCAACATGGGAATTAGACCTCCAACAATGAAACATAACTGAAGGAGGCCACAAGAAACCCTGGCAACACAGGAGATGAAAAGGACAAACAAGATAGCACTGCAGAATGACATTCCTAATACCAAGGGTGATCTAAAGATAGTCAAGATCTTTATCATACTAAGAATACATCAGAGCTGATGACATTTCTTCCAGGTCTACTTCTACAAGGAGATAAACCACTTCCTCCCATTTCTCAATATCATGCAGGGTTTTTGGGATTCCTCTCCAAAAGAATTTGTCCTTACAGAAGGTAGTGGGATAATTAGCCTTCTCCTCACCTTCTGGAATGGCCTCCCTCAGTACTAAGAGCAATGTCAAGCACACATCAAGCCAAGGTCTTTCTCCTAAATCTTCCTGTTTAGCATCTTCCCTGTTCTAGTGTTAGACATTCCCTGATAGTTCAGTGAAATAAAGTAACTTGTTTGACTTAGAGATGCAGATATGCACTTTAGCCCTGCATCTTGTATTTACATATTTCAGAGGTGAAGGAAAACTGAACACATAGTATTGTCAAACAAGTAAGAGATGCAGTGCATCTGTCATTCAAAAGAAACTCATTCCTCATGGGATTGTTAGGTTAAAAATCTGTGGACTGACCAAGGGCTCATACTGTGAAATTAGAGTAGCTTGTGATGGTTAAATGCAGCAGAGAACAGCAGCAATTCCAAAGTAGTATTGTCTGAGCTGAGAAAGACTGCCCAAAGTGTGAAATGGCCTCTTGTTGCTGGAGGGGAATATGTGAAACAGCTGTTTTCTTCTTTATGATCTCCCGTTGAGACCTTGTTTGGTAGAGCATGCAAAAGGGCTTATACAAATATTGTTATCTTCTGTCTCACTTGCATAAAACTTTGTACAAATCCTCATTGTACAAAGCAATGAAAATGATACCCACACGTAGAGGAAAAGGAAAAAAAACAATAAAAAGCAAAAATATTTTCCTCCTCCTGTAACAAGTAGGAAAATAAGTAAAAAGTAGGTACCTGGCATATGATTTCAATTATGAAAGGAAAGAAGTAATTGAAAAGCCATCACCTTTTCTGTCAGTTAAGAATTAACTAGATTGTATAATGCACAGGCAGCTTACAAACACAACTATGTTTGCACTGCACAATGCTAACACTGTTGTATTGCTGCCATGCATTTGCATCAGATATGCTGCAGGAAAAACCCTTAGAGATGTATGTCTGCATCTGCAGCAAGAACGGCAGGAATTCCAAGAGAGGGATAACTTTCTAAGGTGGTGACTCCTGCGTTTAAAAAAAATCCCAATCCTTCCTCAAGATTGCCATCTAGTGGTGCTAAATAAGCGAAAAAAATCACAGACTTTCCCCCATCATACACTTTTTTAGGCAACAGCTGTAAACCTGTGCTCATGATTTGATGTTTATCCCTTTTCCTTTCTTCACACTATTATAGCTACCCCACAGTTATCTGGAATACACTCAGTGTGAAATTTAGAAACAAGGTAAGTATAACAATTTTAAGAAAACAAAAGACTGAAATTGTATTCTAAATACAATTTCAAAGGGACATGGGGAATTTGGGAACATAAGTCCCACTAGGAATCAGGAAGACTCGCACGCATCAAGACACTTTGTGCTTTTGGAAGTCTCTCTCCAGTTTGTATTTGGGCTGTATTTTCTGGTCATTTTCTGTACTCTACAGTAGCTGGTGGGAATCTTAACAGGATCCAAATCAAAACACTGGCCTTGAGGAAAGATTTTTTTTTTTTCTTTTAATTATGTTTTAAAGAAAGTTGGTTTTCTACATACAATATTTTAGAGGTCTGATTCAGGTCCTGTATCTATCAGTATCTGCCAATGGCATCCAAGGGGGTAATGCCATGAGCTGTTAGCAAAAGGGGCAAAACCAACAGAGCCCTGTAATGTGATGCAGGAGCAGCAGGTGCTGTGGTGAGGTGCCAGTGGCTGGACCCACAGCAGGAAAAGTGCATGTATGGCTGCTGGCTACACATGGGTGAGGCTTCAAGAATATAGTAAATATTCTCAGCTGAAACAGAAGGCTAGTGTTCTGGTTTCTAGGGGTTTTTGTTAGAGTTTTGGGAAGGTTCCTTGGTTTTTTTTGTTGTTTGTTTGCTTGCTTTTAATTAACGAAAGTTTTCTGAACAGCCTGACGGATCTGCAGAATTAACAAGAGACCACACAGGCATAAAGTACAGTGTCCCAGGACAGATGGTTTCCAAGTAAGAGTCAGTGTTGACATAACATTTACTCCTCCCTATCCCACACCAGGATGCTTTATGTCAGAACCAGTCTGAAAAGGTGGATTTGCTCAGGACTAAGAAGATAGAATCTATTGACGTGTACTATGCAAACATTGCCCTGCAGGGCACACATCTTTCCAGCAGACCTTCTGCTCACCTAGGCTGACCGAAATAGCCTCCTTTACCAATGTAGTTCCAAAGCTGGAGGTGAGGACTTGTCTTCTTGAAAACCAAAACTTTCCATTGCCTTAAGAGGCAGCTTGGTCCTCAGGCAAAAAAAAAAAAAAAAAAAAAAAAAAAAAAAAAAAACACCAAACAAGCAAAAAAGCGCCAAAACACAATGTCATGATCTTTCAAACTTCCATTTGCATTTGCTCCCCCACAGCCAGGAGACAAACACCAAACACTCGCAGTGCCTCAGGGACCAGACTGCAGTAACCTTTGGTGAACCATGAGTCATTTTTCCACTGCACAAGTGGGCCAAACTGTCTCGCCCCTTCTTCTCCAACGGGAGAGAAAACCAGCTCAGAGCATAAGCTCACCTTGCCAGCAGTGGCTCCAGCCAGCCCTCATGGCATTCACAGTGGCAGTCCAGGAACGTTAGGATGTCTCCTTTCGCCACAGACGCCCCCAGCAGCCGGGCTCGAACCAGCCCCTCCCTCTTATTTGCACGGATAAGACGCACCTTGCGCAGGCCAGCCACGTAGTTTTCCAAAGTCTCCTTTAAATGTTCTGTAACAAGCCAAAAAAAGAGGGAATAATATAGTCTGAAATGATTTGTTTATGTCTTGCTATAAGAAGCTCTCTCCTCGCTAGCATATTACTTATAGTAGGGCTCTAAAGTTTCTGGTACTTTGAACTCAGATTTGGCTATATATGTTTAGAAAGGACATGAAAAAAGCACAAAACTTGGATTTGGACACAAATCACAGTTACTTTTAAGAAATTGAATGCTTCACATCTACCTCTGTAATACATTCCCAGATCGATAAGAGCTTCTCAAATGTTACTTAAGACTTTCTGTATAAAAGTTTTATTCTTAACACAGTTCATGTGTGGTGGAAAATGCCAGCATTGCCTTTATATCCTGTTGTTCAAACAAGACCAAAGAACTAGGTCACTGTCATTATATGAGACACCAGGGGAGCATTGGTGCAATCGAAACTTGCTCAATTCAGGAAACCTGAAGTGCTCTGATCAGACTGTAGTCTATCTATACACAAAAGCACTCATATTACAACACAGCAAATGTGCTTCCCCATTCCAAACTAAATTTGGTATATAAGCCAAATTTTTCACTGGCACACTTCAAGAAAAACTATTTTTCAGTGAGAGGCCTTTGTTGTACAGTTTTCTGGTATGTGACCCGAACAGCATAACTCTTTCTCCTATGAACTAGCCGACCAGAAAAGCCCATCAACAATCAATACTATTTAGACTGATTCTTCCTACCTTTGTCACTGTAATCATCTACAAGGATAATTTCTTCCAAAAGTATATCCGGAGATGTCTCAAGAACACTGTGAACAGTTCGCAGAAGCGTTGACCAAGCCTCGTTATAAAAAGCTATCACAACAGAGGTTTTTGGCAGGTTATAATAATCATATTTCTTCTCTCTGCATCTGTAAAGGGGGAATAACATTCAGTAGAAGTGCAAAAACATTTATTAATTTTCAGGACACAATTCTCAAAACCATTTGCATGCTAGTTACTAACTGCAAACAAGAACACAGAATGGATCTTAAAAGAACTGCATGTGTGTGGAAAATTGTATGAGAAGACAATAGGAAGTTGCTCTTACAGAGGTTCCATTTCCACAGAAGCATTATGAAAAAAATTCTGCAAATTATCAAAATGTCTAAAAAGAAAAATAATAGGAGGTGTTCTGGGCTGGTGTAGCTGTCTTCACACAATTTCAAATAGAAGAACAAGCAATGGCCAAAATGTGCCTCAGATTAAAGGAAAAACAAAAAGAAATGTAAAACCTAAGTGTGGTAAAAACAGTAACATAAACTAGCGATAGCTGTTGCTTGGGAAAATAGAACAAGTGCTAGACAGTAAAAATATGACTGTGAAGGAACAGCAACAGATAAAGAGAAAAAAAACCCCAAACCAAACAACCAGCAACAAAACTGAAATGTATGTACACTGAAGCAGAATTTGGAAAGACCACACAACTGGCAAAATCTAATTGTGAAATCCACAGAAACGTAAAACATACATAGAAATGCATGGTTTTGGCTCTGTGGAGAGCCAGAAAGTTTGCAAACCTTTGGATTAAGCTCCAGAATGTATTTCCTATAAATATATATATGAACTTCCCTAAATGAACATAAGGATGCCAAGAAAGTTATAGCTGAGCCAAATGTATAAATTCTTAAATGAATCCCCTGGTTTAGAAGAATTTTAAAATAACTATGGCATCTTCTACAATTTCTCCTCTTTGCTTAGAGCATTCTGTATTGGCAATTTTTATTGCCTGCAGTCAATGAGGCTTGTAAGGGGCAGAAGGACAGACTTCAACTTCTGCAGACTGCTAAATCACAACAGATACCAAGGCAGGTAGGACATCTCTCCTACCAAAGCAGAACAGTAGCAAGTCCTCCAGAACATATGCTATGGGGAGCTGAAAAGGAAAATTAAAAATGATCAGTAGAAAATGCAACAGGAAAATACCTTAGGTCAATTTAGGGGCACAAAAATTCCCCAAAACACTAAGAAAATTATATTAAAAGCAAACTGCTTACCTATAGCACATTGAAAATATTTTAACAAAATATTTAAGTCTGCTGTGTCTGCAATTAAAAAAGGCTTATAGGTTTCTTTGGAGATTAGGCAGTATCTACTAAGATCTGTTGTACAGAAGGAAAAAAAAAATCTGAATCTGTTATGCCTAAAATTAAAACTTTTACGAAGGAAACAAGAAGTTTGTAGAGTAGTTCTGTAATAAATATGTGAAAATGAGGAAGCAACAAGGACAAATGACACTTGGGCAAAGGAGGCACCCAAAGGCTGCTTCTCAAACATGACGGGAACACCATGTACAGGTGACAACACCAGTGCATACAGACTTATATGGGTAGGTACACACAGACACACAAATTGATGTAGTGAAGTACAAGAATGCCTGTCTCTCCAGGCTGTAACTTGTCCTGAGGGGCTTTCACAGAGGGAACTGTCTCACACCACCACCTGGTGACAGAATTGATTTATTTAGCCAGACATTCATGTATTGACACATAAAAAGGAGTGACAAGTGACATTTCAATTAACTTCTTTATTTTCAATGCAGAAAAACCCGCTGTATGAATCCAATTTTAGAAATACATGTTTAATTTAGCCTATTGAAAAACATTTCTGCTCAGTACTGCCAGGAAAAAAAAATATCCATATGTATCAGTCGAATTCCATCAAGAATTTTGAGTTCATTTCTTGATGGAAAGAGAATCTCTACATATCATTTTAGAAAACTGAAGGAAAATATAAATAAATTTTAAAAAACACCAGGAAAGCATTCTTTGAAAAATATGTCAGGAAGATTCATGGAAAAATAATGCTGCATTCCATTTAAAGAAAGGAAACCCAAAAGGTCTAAAGAAGCTTATAAGTCTAATTGTAGATTAAAGACTTCAATGGATTTGCCTGAAATTACATGCAGGAGATGGAAAACATAATTTGGCACACAGCAAGGCAATCCCCACACAGTTTGTGATTCACTGTGCATTGCTGACTCCTTCCTTGAGCACACCCCACACTGCAGAAAAAGGTCAGCCTACTACAGGACATACCAGAGCACACATTTCTTAGGTTTCCAAAGTCAAGAAAGAGGCCAGCACTAAAAAATGGGTTTAATTTACCAGCTCCATGGTGGAAGGCAGCACAGGAGTGCAGAGAAGAAGTGACCCACCACGGTAGCAGGGCAGGCTGCTGGCCAGCATGACCACACTGACTCGAGCAGTACCTGGATGCCCTTATTAAAAAGCCAAAAAAAAACAAACAAAAAAAAAAAAAGGAAAAAGCCACATTATTCAACTTCTGTGTAGATTTGCATGTTTATCTCAGATATTATTTCCAAGACATATTTCTTGCTAAATTGCTAGAAGATCTCAACTGTTAGCAGTCTCAAATAGTGTTGCTAAAGTGAAGCACACTTTTCCTTATCTTCTGTAATGAAAGAGTTTCACTAAGCCTTAAAAATTAATCCCATTCGGGAGATTACAAACCAAAAGCATTTAAACCCTGGAAAAATTATAGCATAAGAAAATCTTTAAAAAGCTAATGAATCCCTGAAATGGAAATTCTTGGCAGGGTAGCTGAATAACAATTAAGCGGCATGCATATGGACACTAAACATTACCACTTCACAAGATATAAAAATTTCAAAAAACCCACTACGAGTACAAAACCTGATTTAAAGCCTAGTGGTCATAACACATCTTTTCCATTTCTAAACTCCTGTTTACCACACAAGTGCCTCAGCAGCCCATCTTCTGTATTCAGACTTGCAAACTTCAAGATGTACTTTTATTATCCATGTGTCAGCCAAGTATCCCAGCTCCTACTTTCCAAGTGAATCATTTCACTCCTACTTTTGAATTATTCAGAAAAACAAATGCATATCAATTACAGTATGCCATTAAAATGACAGCAACTGGTGACAGCAGTCCCAAAATAAGTTTTTGCAGACACTAGGAATGTATATTTAAGCATACTATACTGCAACCTGCTTTCAGCTTGTGAGTAGGGCACTCTTTAGTGCCACCCTCAGAACACTGTTCTTTCCAATAGAGAGGTTCATGTTAAGACAGGGTTAATTGCATCTCACATTATTCATTCTAAAAACTACCTTTGAGCTGATTGTCTGGGTTCTGCAGGTCCATAAAGACAGATCCAGAAGGATCTCACCCCACCCTCCTTAAGCCATTGATTCAGCACAGCCCAAGAGACCTCAGTGTGTCCCCCTTATCTACAGAGGTTTGATTATAGAACAGTTGCTTAACTTCTCTATGAGTAAAGTTGAATGTGGTCCCTACCACTGGCTGTGATACATCGTAGTCATCATAACCACCAAATGGTTGGTAAAAACATAACACAGACATAAGGAAACTAGTTGCCTGTAAGCAAGACATTTCCAAACTGGGAAAAAAATGCAGATGCATTTGAAGTCCAACATTCTTTCACTATTTTCCTTATCTTATTCAATAACAGGAACTTTACTGTTTTGTAATAATTAAATGTATTTTAAATTAAACAATTTCCTAAATTAAAAATGGCATATTGTGCATGTTGAGTTGGTTAATTTTCTTCAGAGAAGTACACATATCTCTAGTCAACCTGATTTTGGTAACAGTTATCAGATACCAGGATCAGTCACTGAGGAAAAACCTGTTGCCAACATATCCAAGAGGCTTTCCTAGAGGCAACAAAATAAACGCATATAGTTTTAAACAGGACTCAGATTTCAATGACAAACACTGGTATATAATGAATAATAACCACAACAGGTATGGCAACGCAAAGGAGTGACACCTGCCCAGTGTCTGCCCCTCTGGTCACTCCTGCTCTCTGCAGATTCACTAGAAAATGCACCAGTAGATGCTTTGTGCACAGTAGAGTGACACAGAGAAAACATGGCCAGGACTGTCCCAACCATCTTCCAAGGAGCAGAGGGGGACACTCCAATGCTCCAGCAGCATCCTGCTTCTGCATCATCCTTCATTTCCCTCAGGCACTTTCTGACACACTGGGTGGGTGTTCCAGGGATCCTCTTACTTGATCACTGTGGCATAAGACAGGCATAAAACAAACAAAAGCTTTGTCTTTTGGCATTTCTTATTGATTTACACTAAGACAACACCCATATTTTAGAATTCTAAACGTGTTTATCCATAAATCTTTAAATTTTTCTATGGGAAGAAAGAGAAAATAATGCTGCTATGTACCTGAACACAGAACAACGTTCACTATGTACCGCCCTTCCTCTGTGGTTCACTACAGCTTCTACCCAAACAACTAAGTTCACAAAATGCAAACTGAAGCCAAACACGTAAAAGTGCATCATCACACTTCCAAATTCCTGTGGGTTTTTGGTTTTGCCTTTTTTACACTGCATTTTTAAATCACAGTCTAACTGAGAGCAAACAGCTGACAAGTTAAATAAATTAACCTTGGAATCTACTACACTACACAGTCTTCTGTTAGCAAGCTTTACAATAGGTTATTTATTAGAAACTAAGGAGACATCACTCAGGAAATGCCTAAACAAAATTAAATGGGTTGTTTTCAAGAACATTGGTGTCAATTAATGTAATCACTCAATTTATTTCTTTGTAAAGAGCTGTTTCTCTAAGAGATGTGTATCTATACACAGGGAGAGAGCATGAATGTGTGCACACTGGGCACACTGCCATGAGTTAATTAGGAATGGTTGCTGACATGCTCTTACTTGAGACTTTCACCACAACTGTGACAATGATACAGAAAGGGAAAACAGACTTTCAATCTCCAAATTTGATCTTCTATATGCACTGTTACTTACATTTTAAGAAAAAAAAATTGAAATGTTCTCTGAGTTTTCAAAGATTTGTTAAGAACACAAACTGCTCATAAATTATTTAATGCT